GCCATGGGTGTCCCACAGCCAGCGCCGTGCTGGCAGCCCTGGCACCGCTCAGGCACCGCTGCCAGGGGAGCCCGGCGTGCCCCGTGCCCGCACAGCCCTCCTCAGTGCCCCCCACACCTCCCGGTTGCGGAGGCTGTAGATGAGGGGGTTCAGCGCGGGCGTGACGATGCAGTAGAGCGCCGACACCAGCGCGTCGGCCGCCGGCGAGTAGCCGGAGCTGGGCCGGTTGTAGTTCAGGTTGGCCGTCACGAAGTAGAGGGCGACCACCAGCAGGTGGGCAGAGCAGGTGGAGAGGGCCTTGTGCCTGCTGGTGGCCAGCGGCATCCCGAGGACGGCGGCCAGGATGCGGAGGTAGGAGACGACGACTAGCAGGAAGGGGCCGAGGCCCACGAAGACGCTGGCGCCGTGCAGAGCCAGCTCGTTGGGGCGGGTGTCGCCGCAGGCGGCCCCCAGCAGCGGGGGCACGTCGCAGAAGATGTGCCGGAGCCGGGGGGCCCCGCAGAAGGAGAGCCAGGTGGCCAGGAGGGTGTGCAGGGCCGAGTCCAGCAGCCCCCAGAGCCAGCAGCCGGCGGCGGTGGCCATGCAGATGCCGTGGTTCATGGCCTGGGCGTAGCGCAGGGGCTGGCAGATGGCCACGTAGCGGTCGTAGGCCATGACGGCCAGCAGGGCACACTCGGCCCCCGCACACCCCATCAGGAAGAAGGTCTGTGCCAGGCACCCGCCGTAGGAGATGGTGGCCTGCGGGCGCAGGGCGTTCGCCAGGATCTTGGGCACCGTCACCGACGAGTAGCAAAGGTCCAGGCAGGACAGGTGGCCGAGGAAGAAGTACATGGGGCGGCGCAAGTGGCAGTCCAGGGACACGAGGGCGAGGATTGCGGAATTCCCCAGCAGCGTGGCCACGTAAACGGCCAGCAGAAGAACAAAGAGGAGAGGCCGGGCACGGGAAAAGCCCAGGAGCACGAACTCCGTCACCTGAGTCTGGTTCACGCCTGCCATGGGGCCAGCTGGGTCTGTCCTTGGGCAGAAGTGGAGAGCAGGGGGTGACTGTGAGGCAGGGGGTTGGGGCACCACCGCTCAATGATGCAAGGGGGTCACTGGTGGGACAGCTCTGGTCCTGTCTTCACAGTGGTTGAAAGCTTCCTGCCTTGGGATTTCACAGACACCGGGATTTTTGGAGCCCAGAGATCTGCCAGCCAGTGTTGGGCACCTGACTGCAGGAGAAGCACACAGAGGAGCCCAAGAGCAGGGGACATCCACCCACACCCCCTGGGGTCCCCTGCCAGCCCAGCCCCTGGTCTTGATAGTATTCCAAGCATGTCTTTGGATGACTACCTGCTTCCCTGGACAGGTCACAGCATTCCCTAAATGCCACAGGCACTAAACTTGCTCTTCCCCAGCCCTGGTATGGGGATGTAGCATCGCCCTGCACCAGTTAAAAGAATATTGTTTTTTTCTTTATCCTGTGTCCTGCTTTGCAATAACCAGCACTTACAAGGCAGGAGTTCCACTCACAAAGAAGGGGTTCCACTTTAGAATGTTAAGTGCTTGAGAATTCACTGCTTCTCTTGGGAGTTTGTTTCTTGTAGCTACTTCCCACAGGAAACTGTCAAAGCACTGTTAAAAACTGTGCTTTTTTTTTTTTTCCCCTGTTGGAATTGCTCCGGTGTCAGCTCTGTCTCCTTCATAACTTTCAGGTCTTTCTCCTTGTTCTGAGGGTATTTTCTCCCTGTGCACCGAGAGCAATACTAGGGTTTGCTAAGCAGAACTAAGTTCTGATTCATTTCTCTTTCACTTACCAGTTTTTCAACTTCTTAAAAAAAAAAAAAAAATTAACACTGAGAGGAAAGGGTTTTGGCCAGAAGATGAGTTCTTCCTTGCCTGGCACAGTGACATCTGAACTTGTCACTCCATCCAGGATCTGCCAGGCTGGGAAACCTCTGCCCAGGCAAGCTCTCAAGAGGCTGCCCACATCAACATGCTCTTCAGCACAGGCCAGAAAGGCTGGATGGGGAGCAGAGAGGGAACACAGACGTCACCAGTGCCAGGAAGGTTCCTGTCCTTGCCCCAGGAGTTAGGAGGGACCCCTGACCAGCGTGACAGTGACACATGAGCCCAAGACCAAGCTCTGCTCTGGTGTGCTCCCTGAAGCAGGAGACCTTTTCTTGTAGCATTTTGGGGACCATTGTGCCACCCTTCCTTCTGCAGGAGCTCACACCCACCCAGGGAAGGTGCTCCTGCAGGAGGATGTGGTTCTCCTCACCCAGCTCCTGCATCCCATGTGCACTCAAGGTGAGCAGAGCAGGTAGATTGGAGCAGACAGCCCTTGGAGATGAGGTCCTGAGCCTTGGGTACAGCCCAGTGTGAGACAACAGCACAGGATTCATTTCTCTTGGAAAGGACTGGATGGCTCTGTCAGGGGCAGCAGGAGCAGCCACAGCCTGCTCTGACCAGCCAGGAGCCCTGGGGGCCAGCACCAGGTTCTCCCCCCGCCCCAGCAGCGTGTGAAGGACTCGGTGAGAGTCTGCCCTCTCACCTGTCCTCACCTCCACAGCCAAGAGCAGAGAGTGGATGGCACCTGGTCCCTGCTAAGAGGGAAACACTGGCTGTATCCCTGGATGCTGTCCTGTATCCCATGTCCCAGCCATGTCCCAGGTGCTGCCTGGTTTCTCTTACCTGCACAAGGAGAAGCTCACGTGTCCTCGACGCCGTGAGCGCAGCAGCTTTAAACCCTGCAGGGGCCCTGGGAGGGGCTTTCAGAGGTGGCTCCTGTTCAGTGGCAGGAGCGAGGAGCAGCCCCCACCAGTGGGATCCGAGCCCATGGGACTGAGCCCTGGTGACACAGGACTCACCCCGACCTCCCGTCCCGCTCCGGGCTGTGCCAAGTGCAGACCAGACCCTGCTCCAGCCCCGTGGGGGCTGCAGCTCCTGGGTGTGGAAAAGGGCTGGGAGCTGCCACCCCTGGGCCACAACCCCATTTCAGGGCTGTGAGGTGCCTGCACCGGCCACTGGTGGTCTGAGCATAAGCTCTGGATCTGGGAACATCAAGACCTGAGGGAGCTGAGTGGTAACACCTTCCTCAGGAGAGTAGGGAAAGTGCAGGTAACAACTGGACATGAGGATGAACACCTGTGTGGGAATCCAACACGGACACCAAGGGTTCTGCTGCCTCAGCCAGAGGAAATGTGGGTCAGAGGGTGCCTGCAGCTGGAAAATACGAGCAGCAGGTGATAAAAGATGAGCAGCTGTGAGTGTGACCCTGTGTGTGTATGTGGAGCTGTGACTGTGACCCTGTCCCCAAAATGCTACAAGAAGGTCTCCTGCTTCAGGGAGTGCACAAGGAGCAGTGACTCTGAGCCCTGCCTGTCTCCAAGCAGCTCTCAAGGCAGGGCAGGTGGGCTTGCAGGGCAGGGAGACCACGATCATGGGACTTTGTGACGCAGCCATTTGCTTTTGAGTTTACAAAATTAACCTGTTTCTCCCATGGCACCAATGAGCATTTCCTTGTTTCACACAGAAACTCCGTGCTGGGGCATTCCAGTAGAACCTGGTCAAGGTTTTAAGGGAAGACACGTGCTGGCAGCACTCGGAGAAACCGTCTCCCACTCTGATATTTGAAAAGAGACTTTGCTGAAACCACAAACCCTTGGCATAAATATTAAAATACACTGAAATCTCCACAGAAGGCAGAAACTTCCATTATGGTAGTTCATGTCTTCAGGAAAGCCCCTTGGGAGAAGAAATATCAATGTTTGTGTCCTCCTCTGGTCTCCGGAGGGATATCAAACCTGGCTGTGGGGGTCCAGTGGTAAATCAAATCTCCACGAACTTGTGAAATGTTAAGGGAGTTGTTTTTTACACCAAAATGCTTCAATTTGGGGGTGCGGCCTCCAGGACTGGGCCCAGATCCTGTAAATGCTCAACACTTCCAGAAATCAGGCTCTTAACTTACCTTCTCCAAGCATCTTATGGGAGAGGTTGTGGATTCCTGCCTGACTCCTTCTCTCTCAACACTTGACAAGGAGATTTTTTTTGGCTGAAGAAAATTGCGTTGTCTTGAGCTTTTGTCCAGTTTAATCGACACTTGTGTTTTAAAAAGACCAGGCAAGGAGGGTTGCATCTCTGTGGTCTAACCATAAACTGGCCAAAGCTGCCCCAATTTACACGTTTGTCACAGGCTGATGTTTGCACAAGCCCAAACGCTGCGATCACACAACGTGAAGTGACCTGTGACCCTGGGGCATCACAGTTTGGGGCAGCTTCAACATCTACAGAGGCCTGGAAATGGAAAGTGGGGTCCCAGCACCAGCCCTGGGTCACTAATTCTTCCTGGCCAACTCGTGTTCAGAAAGCAACAAGGAAAGTCTCTGCTGTCACCACCAAGTAGCACTTTTGCCTCATGGCTGCTCGTGGGTCCTTCCTGGGCAGCTGTGGTCCCTTCTGCCAGTCTCATTCCTCCCTCCCTCTTCCCATGGCCAGCTTGGAGCCATTCCCAAGGCTCCTCATCCCAGTGTGAGCACCAGCTCTGCCCCCGAGGCCAATTAGTGCACTTGAAGAGAGAGAAGTTCCTGTGTTCCCAAGTTTGCCCCCTTGGTCCCATTCCCCACAGACTCTCTTCCACAGGGAACAGGTCACAGGGGTGCCAGTGCCAATTACAAAAGCCCAGAGCACTTCCCCTGCTCAACCTGGGATGTTTGGGAGATGTGCAAACAAGGCCCAGAGCGGGCTGTTAAAAGTTGTGGGCCTGTTAAAAGTTGAGGGCTGTTAAAAGTTCAAGGCAGCCACTTTGTTCACACTGCTGGAATCAGCTGCATCCAAGTGCACCATCACCATGGGAAGTCTGTGTAGGCACATTCAAAGGGGCCATTTCCCCAAATGGAATAACTGCAAGTGAGTAGGAAAAAAACCCCAAAAAACTTTAGCAGTGAGAAGCGTGAGCCAGGAATTGTCAGTTAGTGACCTGCCAAAGGAATATCCAGAAAGGGAAGCACAACATAGAGAAGAAAGGTAGAAACAGTTGAGTTTAATAATTACAAGATAAAAACACATAAAACTGAGCAAACCCTCCAGGAATCAACAAACCATCAATTTACAAAATCCCAGTAAAGTATCAACAGCATCAGGGACAGCAGCTCTCAGACCTGTGTGAAGGCACATGGGATCCTGAGCAGATCCACTCTGGACATTGCTGGGGACAGGGACAGCAGCAATGTCCCGCAGATCCCTGCATCTGTACCTGGAACAGAACAACGACCATTTGATCCCAGACAGGAGGAGGAGGAGGAGGAAACACAACTGCAGATGTGTTTGACCATGATAGCTCTGGGCAGCACTTCCCACAATGGAAGGAGTTCTGGGAACAGAGAGTCCCTGCCTTGATCTGGGACACTGTAAATGCACTAAACCCCTGTACAGGAACCAACCTCACAGGGCATCACACGGGGAAATGCAGATCAGCCTGCCAGGACCTGGCTCTGCACCTCCACACCCAGCCCTGCTGTACCACCATGTCATCATTCCATCACTTATCCAGGTGACTAAATGGCTTTGGCCATCCCTTTTCCCAAAGATACGGAACTGTCCAGTGAGGCCACAGACACTGAGGGCTCCAAGCTGCCCTCAGGTGTTTTGTCACAAGACCTCACGTGAGGAGCCCCTGGCAGAGCTTCTCAGCCCCTGCCACCTGCAGTCGAATTCATTATCCAGCCCTGGACTGGTGGATCCAGGAAATCCAGAGCTCCACAGCCACTACTGAGTTCCACCAAACCTGCTGCTCTTGTGCCCCACCAGGACCAGCTCCAGCTGTGCCTCCACCTGACACGAGTCAGGACACAAACCCCAGGACAGTGGGCTTCCCAACCTGGCTGCACAGGAGTGAGGACAGCGTGGTTCACCTTGCCCCACTGATGCCTTTTTTAGGTTCTTTTTCCCCTCTTTTCTCCCTAAGGCACAGTGGGAACAGCCAACAGAGAACCCAGGGCCTACCACCAGCAAAAGCAGTTGCAATCCAACTGGAACAAGCAACCTCTGATCCACCTGGCCCTGGACCAACTCACCTATCTTATTCACACCCAAATAAACTTGAAGGCCTGTGAGCTGTGTGGCCAGACTGTCAGTGGGAACATTGCTGAAGGAGCTCTTCCTGCTGCACCAACAACCCAACCCCGGGGAGCACGACACGACCCTGGGGAACACAGCATCACCCACACGAGGCTCTCCCCCTCCCTCAGGCCCTAAAGCGTGGCACAACTCTCCGTCTGGCACCCCAGCAGAGCACCCAGAGGCGCTGCCAGCTCAGCAGAGCAAGCCCTACCGCAGGTAACTCAGGTCACCTCTGGCTCATCTGCCCGGAGCACGCGGTGCACGCGCTCCTCGGGGCTGTAGAACACCCGCCCGCGGCGCAGCCTCGGCTCGTCCTGCTCGTACCAGCGCCGCTCATCAAACTCGGGGAAGAAAAAGGCAATTTCCCTGCTGGCTGAGGCGGGTGAGTCTGTCAAAAATAAAAGAGGAAGAGGCGATGGGAGATGCCTGTCTGGCACCACAAACACGTGCTGGGCTCCAAAGGCGCCCGGCTCAGCCACACCTGGCCAGGCGTGCACGGAGTCTGCACCGGAGAACACATCGCCCACTTGGAGCCCCAGAACCTCCCTGAGCACCAGCCAAGCGGGACAGGCCTACCTGAGCCATGGGTGGTGTTCCTGGTGTCCGTGAGGCCGTAGGCTCCTCGGATGGAGTCCGGGTCGCTGTGTCGGGCTCGGAACACTTTGGTGGGTCCCATCAGGGATCTCCAGCGAGGGACGGCATCCTCATGGGCCAGGATGTAAGCCCACATGGGGCCACTGCGGGAAGGGCCCAGGAAAAGCAGAAGGAAAGGTTAGGAAGGGCACAGTTCGCTCGTCCTTGGAAACCTGCACAGCGCAGCTGCCGCGGGCTGCTCTGCCGGGACCCCGACCCTCCTCACCCCGCGGCCGGAGCCTCCCAGCTCCGCACCCCCCGCACCCGCTCCGCGGCTCCGGGCGGGGCTCCCCTCGCCGGGCGACCCCCCACACCGCGGGTCACCCGCAGCAGGTACCTGGCCATGAACTCCACGAGCCGCTGGTAGAAGAACCGCCCTGCGGAGAGACACGGGCCGGGTGAGCGGCGGGCCCGAGGCGCTGAGCGGCCCTGCTCCCGCAGCCCCGCAGAGCCCCCGCTCGTACCCGCGTGCTCCCGGTAGAAGCGGCGGCTCTGCTCGGGGCCGCACCGCAGCTCCTTGGCGCGCACGATGAGGAAGCGGTGGCGGAGGATGGCGGCGTGCACGGCCTGAGGGAACAGGGGCGCTGTTGGGCAGGCGGGCCGGCGCGGTGCCCTGTGCAATACCCGGAGCGGTGCCCGGCGCGGTACCCGGTGCAGTGCCCTGTGCAATACCCGGCGCGGTACCCTGTGCGGTGCCCGGTGCGGTGCCCCGTGCGGTGCCCGGCCGGACTCACCTCCCGCACCAGCGGATGCGCCACCGCGTCCGGCTTGAGCAGCGCCAGCGTCAGCTGCAGCCGCGGGGCCGCCATGGCCGCGCCGCAGGGGCGAGGGCGGGGCCCGGCGGAGGCGGGGCCCGGTGGGGAGGCGGGGCCGCGGGGGCGGGGCCGGGAGCGGTCCACGCGCGCCGCGTGGCAGCGGGGACGCGCAGGCGCGGCCATGGCGGCGGCGGAGGGAGCGGAGCGGGACGAGCCCCGGGACGGAGCCCAGGACGGAGCGCGGGACGAGGTCGCGGCCGGCGCTGAGGAGACGGTGAAGATCATCTGCCTGGGCGACAGCGCCGTGGGCAAGTCCAAGTGCGTGGGGGGCGCGCGGGGGGCGCGCGGGGGTGGCGGCGGCGGGGCCCGCGGGCTGACGGTGTCGCGCTGTGTCCCCGCAGGCTGCTGGAGCGCTTCCTGCTCGACGGCTTGTATCCTTGGCGGCGGGGCGGCGGGGGGACAGCGCGGGGCAGCGGCGGAGGGGGGGTCTCCGTGGGCTCTCCGTGGGCTCCTTAGCATCGCCGCAGCCGCCCCCAGCAGCTCTCCACGTTCGCGCTGACGCTGCACCAGCACCGCGCCCGCGTGGGCGGGCAGGAGGTCCTCGTGGGTGAGTGGGGGCAGCCCTCGGGACAGCCCGGGGACTGGCGGGGCCGTGGCGGAGGGAGCGGCTGGGAGCGGGGAGATCCCCTTGCGCTGGATCCTGGTTAGGTTTTTGGATGGACTGCAATATCCTGAGGAATCCCGTGGCCTTCTGTGGCGGGACTGCAGCGTTGGTGGATGGGGCAAAGTGACTGCCGTGGTCGCTCTGGGCTCAGGGAAGCTTTGGGCGCTGTCCCCACGATATACCGGGCTCTGAGCTGGAGAGACAGGGACTGGGGGGATAGGTGGGTGGGGTGGGTGGACACTCGGGGATGAGGAACGGGCTGGATGGCTGCATGCAGAGTCGTGGTCATGGCTCATTGTCCACGTGGAGACCGGGACGAGTAGGGTCCTTCAGCGGTCTCTCAGGGTCGGGACCACCACTGTTGAACATCTTTGTTGTGACAGGGACAATGAATGCAAATGTGGTCTGAAGGGGCCCTGTCAGTATTTAGGCATTTTAAGAAGTCACCATCGTGCAGGTCAGGCCCAGTGTCCAGTCAGACACCGATATCAGAGCAAAGGAATCCCTAAGAGAAGCAGCTTACAGCTTCTTGGGTTTGGGTGCAGCAGCACCACGCTTGGGTCCAGCTGACAGAGGGGTGACCGCACTGGGGTGCTTGGCTGAAGCTGTGCAGGTTTATACAGCAAACCAGACCCATCTGAACCTAAAAACCTGGTACCAACAGCAAAAGGCATTGCAGGATCTGGGTGTACATGGTGACAGCTGACACCTGACGTGCACAGAGATTCATGGGCTGGGACCTGTCTGCCTCAGGCTGACTTAGCTCCATCACTGGCTCAGAAATCAGCAGTTTCCAGCAGTTTCTGGGGGTTTAGTTGATTTCCCATTGTCATCCCTAGTGACAGAGGGCTCAGGCATTGCTGCTGCTCTTTGCACTTCTGCCTGGCTGTCCCGTACGACTCGTGTCACTGGTGGCTTCTCCCTTGCTTGTGGCCAGTGCCAGCACAGCCCTCAGCTGAGCCCAGCTAAGGAAAGCTCCCAGTTGGGCACAATCTCATAACCCTCGAGTGTTTTGGACTGGTGAGGTGAAACCCAATTTGCGACCCGGAGCAGGTGGGCTGGGCTTTGCCTCCAGGGGGTGCGAGTCGTGAGGAGAACGGGGTGAGTTGTGTTGCTCTGAGCTGTTTCTGTGTTACAGACTTCTGGGACACAGCGGGCCAGGAGCGGTTCCAGAGCATGCACGCCTCCTACTACCACCAAGCCCATGCCTGCATCATGGTGAGGGAGTCTCGGCCGGGAGCTGGTGGGATTTGGGCTTGGAATGGTCCTGGTTACTCCTTACCCTGCTGGGCACTGACCATTCCCAGTGCTGGCTCCCTCTGTGTGGGTGGCAGGGACTTGTCACAGGACACAGTCCCAGTGTAAAGGACATCAAAGGGCTGTTTGCTGCTGGCTGCATGTGCTGGGATGCTCTTGTGGATACTCTTCCTTTCTCCTCCATCCTTTCTAGCAACACCCAGTTTCCTTTGTCATGCCCTCCTGGGAATATTCTGCATTCTGTCCTTGTGTCGGTCAGAGATGTCCAGGCTGCTCGGAGCTGTCCAGGGGCAGTCAGAGCTGTCCTGGATTGGCCTCAGCACAGCTGGTTCTCTTTTGGAAGGTGTTTGATGTGCAGAGGAAGGTCACCTACAAGAACCTGAACAGCTGGTACCGGGAGCTGAGGGAATTCCGCCCGGAGATTCCCTGCATTGTGGTGGCCAACAAGATCGATGGTGAGTGCCTCCTTACTGTGCCCAACCTCACAGGGTTGTGGTGGGATTCACTCTTACCCAGCTGAGGACAAATGTCCCTTGTCTGTCAGGTCCAGAGGATTTCCTGAGTCCCCCAGGGCTGGCTCCTCTGCTGATCTCACCTGCTGTCTCACAGGTGTTTTTCCTATGTCACCAGCAATTAAAAATGCAGATTTGATGCATTTGAGGTTTGTCCTTCCAGTTCTTTCCTTACCGTGCTGCCCATTCCATCCAGCAAGAACCCAAAGGTGATTGGAGCAGCACCTGGTCAAAAGTGGCAGGGGAAGGAGAAAAAGCTGTTCTGTGGCTTCCCCAGATCACTCAGGGATGGCCTTGGTGCTTCTCCTTCAGCCTGCACAGGCTCCTCTGTGCTGAAGTCTCTCAATGTACCTGCTGGCAAAACTATTCCTGTTGGGAATGCCAGGCAGCCCTTCAGGATCGCTGGGGCCGTGGCCTGTCTGGGTCCTGTGGCAGTGCCTGGCATGACACCTGGGGGGATGCCCACCCTCGGGATCTCCTGCCCTGCCTGACTGACCCCTGTCTCCTCTGCCTGTCCCAGCGGATATGAAGGTGACCCAGAAAAGCTTCAACTTCGCCCGGAAGTTCAGTTTGCCCTTTTACTTCGTGTCTGCTGCCGACGGCACCAACGTGGTGAAGGTGAGGGGGGCTGGTTGAGTGCCCAGGGACTGTGCTGGTGGCTGTGGAGGGTTTTGTTCCCTTGGGATTAATCTCCACCTGCTACAGAAACCCAGTGCCCAAAGTGCCCCATCCTGGGAGTGACGAGCCTTGTCCTTTCCCCCAGCTCTTCAACGATGCCATCAGACTGGCCCTGGCTTACAAACAGCACTCAGAAGACTTCATGGACCAGGTCCTGCAGGAGCTGGAGGTAGGGAAGGCTCTGTTCCTCCCCCACTTCCTGAGGAATAAGCAGCTCTGCAGAGGATGGAACTGTGCAGCACGGGAAACTTTGCCCTGTGGTGATGACCCTGGGGGTGTGTGCTGGGCTGGGATGGGCTGGGAGGGGAGGGGTGATGCTGAGACCCTTGGAAGAGCCCTTGCTGCCCTAGGCTGCCCTAGGCTGAGTCTGAAAGAGCCACAGCAGATGCGGCTGTTGCAGTGTTTGTCACTTCTCAGCAGTTCCTTGACCTGCTCTTTTCCAGAGCTTTGACCTGCAGAAGACGAGCAAGGATTTATCAGATGAAGAGCTGCCCTGAAGAGGAACCCCCATCTGCCTGAGCCCAGACCCTGAGCCTGGTTTTCGTTTGCCACTGCACCCTGAGCCCAGTTTCCCTTGGCTGGATTTCTGGGGCCTGCACAGTGATGTTCCTCGTGCCCCAGAGCTGTGGTGATGGGCAGCTGGGCCTCTCCACTTCTTGTGGGAGCCCTTCTGGGCAGGATCTCCCTTGGCTTGACCCTTGGCACTGCACATCTTCACTCAAGTTGAAGAACGAATGTGAACAGCCCAGCAGACTGACAGACAGAGCAGGGACTTCCCCAGCCCGTGGGTGCACTGAGCAGGGCTGAAAACACAGTTAATGAGGAACACAGAAACTTTATTTCAACACCTGGGTCAGGTCAGCGTCGGTGCAGGTGCAGCAGAGCAGCGTGGGCAGGACAGAGCAACCTCTGGCCCCAAGGCTACCTTTATCCCAGCAGGAAATGGCCGTGGTCCACTGTAGCCCTGGATCCCCCTCATCCTGCTGCTGCTTAAGCCTTTTTATCTTTCAGGAAGTGCAGGAACTCCTGCAGCAGGTTCAGGAATGGCACCAGGAGCAGGAGTGGGAATGCCGTGGGCATTGACAAGGCCGAGGAGGTCGGTGCCGGTCTCTGGCTGTGCTTGGGGATCAAGCTGATGTCTGGCTCTGGCACCAGCTTCAGGTCCTGCTCAGGGGTCAGGCTGATGTGTGGCTCTGGCTCTGGCTTCAGACGCTGCTCAGGGGTGGAGCTGACGGCTGGCTCTTGTTCTGGACCGGCTCTTTGTGCCGGGCTCAGGCCCGTCTGGACCAGGATCCAGTTGTAGAAGGGCTGAGTGGAGGTGTAGATCCCGGGGTGCCTGGCTTTGTCACAGCCTCTTCCCCAGCTGCTCAGCCCCACCACCCAGAAGTAGTCGGCTCTGTTGTCCTTGCAGACGAGGGGACCCCCACTGTCCCCCTGCGGCAGGAGAGAGGGCTCAGGGTTTGTGGGGGGCTGCTGCAGCAGCAGGGCTGGCTCCTCTCTCCCAGCCCCTGCCAGAGCCGCATTCCCAGCACGGGAAGGCTCTGCTTGGGGGCTGGAGCCTCCAGAGCCTCAGCTGGGAGCAGGTTGGGGGCTGTCCCATCTCTGCCCAGGGGTCCCAGATGTGCAGAGGATGAATGATCCAGGGTCACATCTGCAGCTCGGGGCTGCCAGGAGCACTGGATGGGCTTTGGGGGCAGAGCCAGGCATTGGGGACACGGAGACCCATGGATGGGGCAGCCCTGGGATATGGGACATGGGACAGGACAGCCCTGGAATGGGGGACATGGGATAGAACAACCCTGGGATGGAGGACATGGGACAGGGCAGCCCTGGGATAGGGGACATGGGACAGGACAGCCCTGGGATAGGGGACATGGGACAGGACAGCCCTGGGATATGGGGACATGGGATAGAACAACCCTGGGATGGGGGTCATGGGACAGGACAGCCCTGGCAGGGGTGGGGCCCTGGGGCTGGGAGGGTGCCAGGCCAGGCCCAGCCCGTGCCATGTTTGGGGCAGGGGGTCCCTGTGCTGCCGGGGCTGAGGGGCTGGTGCCACGCTCCCACCTGGCAGGTGTCGATGCCGCCCCGCGGGTACCCAGCGCACAGGTTTTCGGGGTGCACGGCCCCCGCGTACCACCGGCTGCTGTTACAGAGCTCTGTGTCCATCAGGTGGACCTTGGCCTCCTGCAGCACCACATCTGGTCGAGGAGTTGTAGAAACAGAGAGGAATGAGACCCCATCAGCTCAGTGCCAGTCCCCTCCCCTGCCTGGGGGTCTCTTCAGAGAGTCACAGAATGGTTTGGGTGGAAGGGACCTTAAAGCTCATCCAGTGGCACTTCCAGCTCTGGTCAGGGACCCCTTCCCGCAGCCCAGGCTGCTCCAAGCCCTGACCCTGAAGCCACAGCTGGAGTGTGGCTGTGTCCAGCCCATGTCCCCAGGTACCCAGCCCATGTCCCTTGGGCACCCTCAGGGCACATGTCCTTGTTGGGCCTCACTTCCAGGTGTGCCGAAACTCCATCCAGCGATGTAGCAGAACTTGAGCTCCGAGACCCTCAGTGAGGTGTCGGGCACACAGCCCAGCTGGATGGAGTCGCTGCACTCCACGGGCCGGTCCAGCTCCAGCAGGGCAATGTCATTCCTTGCTGTGGCAACCACGTAGTGCTGGTGCACCAGGAGCCTCTGGATGTGCCTCACCTCGGCCTCAGGGCCCGGCTGAGTCAGATCCGTGGCCCCGATAACCACATCCCACCGGTAGACATCGCTGGGGAGGAGGAGAGAGGGGTGAGAGGGAGCAGAGCCACAGGCTGTGGCTGCTTTCCAGCCTTCTGCTTCCCAAGGCAGAGAGGGAAGCAGAGAGGGAAGAGCCAGGACTGGAGCAGCACGAGGTGCTGTGACCTGGGCACCTGCCCGAGCTGTGGGGACAATCCCTGTCCCTGCCCCTCCTTACCTGACCCTGATGAAGCAGTGGGCGACCGTGAGGACCCACTGGGAGCTGAGGAGGACACCCGAGCACATGTGCCACGTGCCGTTCTGCCAGGTGGCCTGGATGCTGGCGATGCCGGGCCAGGCCCCCGGCTGGACCCCGGAGCCCCCCACGACGCGGGAGGTGCCGTCGGCCAAGGCCGCGGGGCCGTAGTCGGGCAGCAGGGAGTTGTGGTCGGAAGCCATGGGCCGGAGCCCGCAGGTCCCTCTGCAAGCACAAACCATCCCTGCCCTGCTCAGGGGCTGCTCAGGATGAAGGTTCCCCGTTGTCCCCCCACAGTGCCCCGAGGGGCAGCAGGGCCAGGGCCCCCCCAGGGCACGTCTGTGCCCCCGTTGTGCTGGGAACCCCCCGAGTGTTCCCGAGCTCCCCCCACACCCCTAAATGGGGCCACTGACCCGCAGGTGTCCCAGGTGCCACCCACGGGCCCGGCCAGGGCCAGCAGGACCAGGAGCCACAGCCAAGCCATCGGTGGCAGCGCACGGGGCAGTGCCAGGAGCGAGGGGTCACCTCCAGCGTTGTGCCCACAGCACCCACAGTGCCCCTGGGCAGGGCTGATGTCACAGAGGGGCCGGTTCCACGTGCTGGGCATGGTGGGGAGGGACAGCACTGAGTCACAGAGCCAGGGAATGGTTTGGGTGGGAAGGGACTTTAACAAGCACCCAGTGCCACACCCTGCCATGGGCAGGGACACCTTCCACTGACCCAGGTTGCTCCATGCCCTGTCCAGCCTGGCCTTGGACACTTCCAGGGATGCAGGGGCAGCCACAGCTTCTCTGGCCAACCTGAGCCAGGGCCTCCCCACCCTCCCAGCCACAAATTCCTTCCTAACATCTAATCTAAACTTGCCCTCCTTCTGCTTAAAGCCATTTTCCCCTTGTCCAGTCACTACATGCTCTTGTCCAAAGTTCCTCTCCAGCCTCCTTGGAAGCCCCCCTTAGGTACTGGAAGGGGCTCTTGAGTTCTCCCTGGAGTCTTCTCCAGGCTGACCAGCCCCAGCTCTCTCATCTTGTCATGCCCTTCTTCCCACCCTGAATGAATATTTTAAGTGTTTTGTGAACCTTGCTTTAAAACAGCAGTGCACTGCTAGTCCACCTACATTCACCTTTCACATGTTTATTTACATCCATTCCAGAGAGGCACCTGACTTTATTCAAATACCTCGATAAATGAAAGTTTCTTTTTTGCTCTAATTTGTTGAAGTAGTTTTGTAGGAAGATGCTTGAGGGTAAAAAGATAATGGAAATGGCAGCTTTTCTTAGGGATCAGAGCTTGTCTGTGCATTGCTTTGATTGCATTTTTGCAGTTAGATGCTGTCACCAGCGATTCTCGAGCCTTACAATTTATTAATGAAGAGGGTTATTCTGTCAACCGTTCATGTGAGTGAAGGTGTGGAGACCCAAGAGGGCGTTTCTGTGTTTGGCAAGTGACCCTAAACAAGTCAGCCCAAGCAGCCCTAACTAATCTCAGGTTTAATACCTCATAATTTTGTACCAGACCTGGTGAACTGCTCGGTGAAGGGTCCCCTGTTAAATCTGTGAGCCTTTACAGTCGGGCATTTTTCTGGCAGAAGAAAGAAGAGCTTTTTGAGTTTCTTTGGAGATTCAGGAAATGGAATGTTAAACACCTAAATCCAGAATACTTTTCCAGTGGTCAGATCATGTTCTATGTATTTTAAACATTTCCTTCCCAGTATGCCATCTAACCATGCCATTATTACACCTCGGCAGTATTAAACCCCAGCCCCCAATCCTCTGATGTTAGAAAAATATGGAAAATAAAATAAAATAAATAAAAAATTAAAATAAAATAACATAAAAATTAAAACAAAATAGCATAAAGTAAAATAAAATAAAAATTAAAATAAAATAACATAAAATAAAGTAAAATAAAGTAAAATAAAGTAAAAATTTAAAGTAAAATAAAGTAAAATAAATAAAAATTAAAATAACATAAAGTAAAATAAAGTAAAATAAAATAAATAAAAATTTAAATAAAATAAATAAAAATAAAATAAAATAACATAAAATAAAGTAAAATAAAGTAAAATAAAATAAAATAACAATAAAAATAACATAAAATAAAATAAAATAAAGAAAATAAAATAAATAAAAATTAAAATAAAATAAAATAAAATAAATAAAAATAAAATAATAAAATTAAAATAAAATAACATAAAATAAAATAAAATAATTAAAATAAAACAAAATAAAATAAATAAAAATTTAAATAAAATAAATAAAAAATAAAATAAAGATAACATAAAATAAAGATGAAGTGAAATAAGATAAAGATAAAAATAAAATAACATAAAATAAAATAAAATAAAGAAAAATAAAATAAATAAAAATTAAAATAAAATAAAATAAATAAAGTAAAATAAAATAAATAAAAATTAAAATAAAATAAAATAAATAAAAAATAAAATAAAATAAAATAAAGTAAAATAAAATAAAGAAAAATGAAATAAAGAAAAATTAAAATAAAGTAAAATAAAATGAATAAAATAACATAAAATAACATAAAATAAAATAAATAAAAATAAAATAAAATAATTAAAATAAAATAAAATAAAATAAAATAAAATCCTGAGGATTGGGATGGTGATATTTGGGAAAGCCCCGATGAAAATGCTGGTGAGGCAGAATGGGACTCGTATGAAACAACTGAACCCCCACCTCCTAGACAGGAAGGGGTTCCAGACTTAAAAATAAGACCTATAATTAAGAGCAGGCACATTATGACTTACCGGTGGTCAGGCCCCTCATCTATTTACCAGTAGCACTTAGAAATAACCTTTGAATTTTCTGATTTTTACAGGAGCTCAAATATCTCTGATCAGCCTGGAAAATTAAGTTTTCAAAGAACAAGGGTGTGTTTACCAGGATTCAATGGACAGAGTATTATATGTTACACTGCCAGGGTCCATTTATGGTTCCCTGGGGGAAAATGGATGTCCCTGTACACATTTGCAACCTCAGATCATTTTAGGGTATGATATCTTTAAAGGAAAAGTTTGGCAATTGCCCAACTGGAATGTTTGCCATTCGGGCCCACAAAAAAACCCACCAAATAGTAAATTTTCTGAAAAAAAAAAAAAAAAAAACCAGAAAAATTAATCCACTAAAAATGGCTCCAGTTTTACCTGCTTTGGCTGTGACCAACATCAAACAGCGCCCTACTCATCCTGCAGCCAAACAAGGGATAAATAAAATAATTAAAGCTTTAGAACAAAGGGATATTATATTTAGGATACACTCCTCATACAACTCTCCTGCTGGCAGCTGAACACGTATGGATGGCAGTTCTGGATGGAAAAGGCACGTTCTTCATGGGTCCACTTGGGAAGGGAGATAAACCCGAATTTGCATTTCCTTGGGAGGGAACACAATGCACCTTTAATCACCTAACCCCGAGGGTATAAACATTCACCTCCAATGCCTGCTCACAATGCCTCAGCTAAACTGCTTCAGCAAACAGAAATCCTGAAAGGAGTACAAATCTCTCCATAAAATGATGATGTGTTGATAGGAGGCGAAGAGGAAAGTGCAGTAAGAACAACAGCACAAGATATACAGAATAAATTAAATGAGGAGGTGATAGAAGCGCCCTCTGCCAAACGCCAAGACCCCTCTGAAGAGGTGGCATTCCTGGGAACCCGGTGGATTGCAGGTCAGGCTGTAATCCTGCACGAAACCACTACGAAATTGGATGCCACAGACACTCCTGCTACTAGAAAGGAACTTCAAGAGATCATCAGCACCTTAGGACACCAGAGAAATCGTGTTCCTGGATTTTCTGTGACCCTTGTGTGCTTTAATGAGGAAAGAAACAGACCTGGAAGCGGCTTGGTAGTGATAAACAGGCTTTGCAAGCACTGATAGAAGAGCTAAAAACATATCAGTCACTTGGGCCAGTTCACCCCAGTTATCCTATAACAGCTGAACTGGGTTTTGCTGAAGAGGGGACTTGCTGTAATATGTTCCAGAAGGGCCCTCATGGACACAAATTACCCTTAGGGTTTAGTTCCATAGCATTAAAAGATACTGAAAGAAGATAAATTAGCTGGGAAAGGGGATTATTATCTCTGACCTGAGCTCTTAAACAAGTAGAAAAAATTAACCAGTGTCAGCCTTACAAGTCCGAGGACCTAAATATAATAACCTGTCAGTCCCAGCAGATGGGATTGCACAGAGACCAGCAGCACACAAAGCTGTGCCTGTGTCTCAGGAGTTGTGGATCAGATGGATATAACTGAGGGGCGGACAGAACCTTCCAAATTACAAATAGCTGTGACCCCCAGGTACACTGGCTCTGCACCAGCCACGTAAACAGAGTCCTGTACCTGATGCTCCTGCAGTTACATCAGGCTGAAATTAAAAAGGTGTCTGGTTTACTGATGCCTCAGCCAAACACAGAGATGGTAAATGGAAGTACAGAGCAGTTGCCCTTAACATTCAGACAGGAGGGGGAGCAGCAGAAGGAGGAATGGGAAGTGCACAGGTGGGAGAGGTGAAAGCTTTACTGGCAGTAAAAGAGAAGGCAAGGACAATATGTGTTGATACCCATGCAGTCTGGGCTGGTGCCACACAGTGGTTGTGTCAGTGGGAAGCTTTAGGCTGGCAAGTGGATGGAAAAGAGGTTTGGAGGAAGGAAGGTTGGAAGTGGTTGCTGTCACAGGCTCAGTGCCCACCAATCCACACAGATGGGTAAAAGGATAAAGCCTTGCAGACTTATGGGAACAACCAGCTGGGTCAGATGACAACAATTAAAAAGATAAAAATGGATCTGTTGGAAGATCCTCAGCCCTGGTACCGACTGGGCAAGCGGCTACCCTGTAAATAAATTAAGGCAAACTGGACGGGAAGCTTCATATTTTTTTTAACAGCACAGAGTAGAGGGTGGCCATTGAGCAGAACGATTTGTAAAAGGCGTTCTCACACAATGTCCCCAGCGCCAGGTAAGACTTGGGTAAAATCACCCAGAGCAGGTACCACCTTTACATATGAAAAGCAACAAAACATTTGGCAGATTGATTATATTGGCCCTCTGGGGACATCCAGTGGTTGTGAGGACACACTGACAGGCGTGGGAGTGGTCTCTGGGCTGTCAGATGCCACTAAAAGCAGGCTATTTTGGGACTCAGTAACCGGTTTTCGGGTCTCCCTGTCCCCAGACTGTATGAAGTGACAACGGATCACAATTCAGCAGTGTGATGGTACAAGGCTGGGCCACGAGGGAAGGTGTCAAACAGGTTTTCCACACACTTTATTATCCCCAAGAAAATGGGATTGTGGAGCTGGAAATGGTTTGGTGAACACATGAGTCTGAATGGGATAAAAGATTACAAGATAAATATATATATATATATGTAAAAATATATATGTATCAGATAAATAACCTATATGGTCCAATAGGTCATCCTGTTTCACAAGCTTTCTTGAGTCCTGTGCCTCTTGAAGCAACTCCAAATGATAACATTGAATGACTTGTTTGGATAGTCCCCAAGCACTTTCTGAATTAAATGTTATGCCCTGTAGTTGTAATATTGTTATTAATCAGAATGTCTTTTAATTCTTTTTATTAGTAGCCATTGTATATCTGTGTCACACCTAATCCAACAAATGAGGATGCTGACCATTCCAGAAGTACATAAAATTGAAATAACAGAATCAATAGCTAGTTCTGTATTATGCTCAGTTTAATACTGCCAACGCTGATTTTTCTAAGAATTTTGCGTGTAAAAGTGTAAGGTGTGATTATAATACAGCTAACATCTTTTAAAGTACACGAGTTGAGATAAAATAGTAAAAATTAGGAGCTCAGCATATTTAACAATAATGTACTTATGCAGTGGGTGCTTTTATAGCAGAAAGGTAAGAGTTTGTACTGCATTCCAAGTACCAGTCTGGCTCATCACCCCAAATCAGCATCCTGGTAGTGAGGCAAAGATTTGGCAGATAAGCTGCTAAACCGACCTGGAGATGTGGGTCTGGCAGTCATCCCTTTATCCTATAAAAGCCCAGTCCACTTTTATGTGATCAGATTTTTCTAACATACTCTTCTTGGGGGTGTGTGTGGAGTCTTCTCCCTCCTAGTGGGAACAACCCTTCAAGGATTCTCTTCAAGGTAAAGAAAAAGAGATCTGCCCACAAGCACTGGGATGGTGTGTTACACTAATCTCTAATGACTGTTTCTTTTTGCTGGCTTTAATTTTTGTTTTTAAAGTAAAATTTAAGTAAAAAGTAAAAAAAAAAAAATTACTTTGATATAATGCACTATACTGCACACTACCAGTAATTTTAGGTTTTGTATTGTGTAGTAAATAAGATCTTGTGTCTATTTGTCATAATAAATAATTCCTTTTACATAAATATACCCAGTTTGCCATCTTTAATGCTGCGTGACAAAGTTGTACTTACATCGCTGACAAAGTCTCTGGGGCTTAGATGGGATCCAGGCTCCTCTCTGAGAAGTTTAGAAAGCCAAGGGGTTCTTTCTTCAAACTCGTGTCCCACCTGTGACAGTCACCCCACCACCTCCCTGGGCAGCCCATTCCAATATCTAACCATCCTTTCTGTGCTGAAATTATTCCTCATGGCCAGCACCCCCTCTGCTGGGCCACTTTCCAGCCCCCCAGCCTGCAGCTGCAGGGGGTTGTTGTGGCCAAAGTGCAGGACCTGGCACTTGGTCTTGTTGACCTTCAACCCTGTTGGTCTCAGCCCATGGATCCAGCCTGGCCAGGTCCCTCTGCAGAGCCCTCCAGCAGATCCACACTCCCCTCCAGCTTGGTGTTGTCCACCAATTTGCTAATGATGGACTCGATACCCTCAGCCAGATCATCGATAAAGATATTAAAGAGGGCTGGGCCCAGCACTGATCCCTGGGGGACACCACTGGTGCCCAGATGCCAACTGGATGCATCCCCGTTCCCCAGCACTCCCTGGACCCTCAACCCAGCACAGAGTGCGCTGTCCCAGCCGTGGGCTGCAGCTTTTCCACGAGTGTGCCGTGGGAGATGGTGTCCGAGGCTTTGCTGAACTCCAGGTAGACACACCCACAGCCTTCCCCTCACCCACCGGGTGGGTCACCTGGTCCCTGCAGGGGATCAGGTTGGTCAGGCAGGACCTGCCCTTCCCAAGCCCGTGCTGGCCGGGTGTGCTGGTTCCGGCCAGGATGGGGTTAAGTTCTGCAGCAGGCAGGGTGGGCACAGCCAGGGCCTCGGGGTCATTCTGTGCCACCCGAAGGGGCATCTCCTCTCCATGGTGTCTTTCCCAGCTGGCCGCAGTGTGGGGCCGGTTCCCCCGGAATGACCTGTGAATTGCTTCCCCTCTCTGTACACTGTTTAATGGCATTGTTGTTCCTTTTCTTATCTCATCGCTGCTTCCAGTGTCCTGGGTGTGACACCTGTGACACCTGTGTCCGTGCCTGCCCAGCTGTGTGTCCCCCAGCACTGCCACCCTCGGGCCTCCCTGCGATCTCGGTCACCCCCCCGGGCTTGGGGGCCATGGGGGAGTCGGGGTGCCCCCGTGCCCGCGGGTCTGAGCCCCCCTGATGTGGTGCCTGTCCCAGCACGTCCCCCCTCCATCCCTGTCCCAACAGTGCTCCGTGGCACATGTGGTCCCTGTGCCACATCCCCATGACCCTCCCGTTCCTGTCCCCCCCACCCCGTGCCCCACAGTGTGTCCCCACTGTGTCACTGTCACCCCCCACAGCGTGTCACTGTCCCACCTGTGCTCCAGAGCATGTCCCTGTGCCACATCTCCGCGTGCTCCCCTCCATGCCCCCATTCCTGTGTCCCCCCCTCAGGTCCCTGTCCCCCTGTGTGTCCCCCGGTGCCCCACAGAGCACAGCAGATGATGAGTGGTGTCAGCACATGTTGGGGACACTGAGAAGACACACACATGGGGGGGACACAAACGTCACTTGGTTACAGGGGGAGGGCAATAAATACCAGACACCCCCCCACCCCAGGGTGCTACCAGGGCAGGGGGGCTGAGGGAGGGCTGTGGGGATGGCAACAAGGTCACAGTGACAACTCCTGGTGTCCTTGGGGTGTCCCTGGCCCCCCCTCCCTGCTGTCCCTCCCTGCCCGCAGGCGGGATCCGGCGGGATCCGGTGGTGGCACTTCCCTGTCACGGGACGCAGCTGAGACACGGTCACGGGGCACCCGTGGGGCCCCCTCAGGGACACACCAGGGTCTCTCTGTCACCCCCCAGACCTGTGGGACACCCTCAGGCACCTCACAGCACCCACAGGCACCCCGTATGACCCCCAGGCAGCACCCTGGGGTGGGCTGGGGACCCAGTGGGGTGGGGACCATCAGATGTGGGAACTGCCAGGAACTCCCAGGAGGATTTCCCTGTGCTGGAGACCCCGTGGGATGCCAGGGGCTGTTCTGGGGCACCAGGTGGGGTCTGTTGGGTGTGAAGAGGCTGAGGGGGCTGGGGAGGTGCCACAGGTGGTCGGGCACGAGGAGGCCACGAGCGCAGCACAGAGGGGCAGTTTGGGGTGGCTGAGGTGGTTTGGGGATACCGAGGGAGTACCAGGGGGACTGTTGGTGGTTTTTGCTGTCCAAGGGATGTTCGGGAGGGCTCCTGTGGCATTTAGAGGTACCAGGGAGGGTTTCTGGGGTCCTGGGGGAGGCTGGAGGTTCCTAGGTGGGGCACGGGGGGATTTGAAGGTCCGGGGGTGCCCGGGGCCTCTATCGCAGCTCATCGGGAGCGAAGAGCCCGCGGGCGCGGCGCAGCACCGAGTCCCGGGCCGGGTCGTACGGGTGGTCCTTGGAGGGGATCTCGAGCACCGCGGGCAGGGCCCGGGCGTGGGCTGCGACCGCCGGCCGGATCTGCTCCGCCAGCGCTTGCGAGATCAGGATCATCCCCACGTCCTCCCGCGCCAGGAAACCCCTGGAACAGGGAAACGGAGGGTGAGGGGGGCACGCAGAAACCTCCCCCAGGGACGGGGCCCCAGCGCGGCGGTGGCACAGGGGAGTGCTGGGATTCCTTGGAGCCCCTGAGCTCCTCTAAGCACCCCTGAGAACCACCCCCGCCCCGGACACTGCTGAGATCCCCCTGACACCTTCCCAGGGACTCCTGGGACCCTCCAGACCCCAAATCCCCCCATACCCTCCCCTGAGGCTCCCAAACCCTCCCCCGAGGCTCCCGGGACCCCTCTCCAACTGCCCCTGGGTCCCCTCTCCAACTGCCCCAGACTCCCCAGAACGCCCCCCAGGGCTCCTGGGATCCTCCAGACCCCAAAACCCGCCCAGCCCCTCCCCAGGGACCACCGAGACTCCCTCCGGGGACCACCCCAGGGACCCCCCGGGAGCCCACAGCCCTTCCCGAGCCCACTCAGAGCCCCCAGACCCGCCGGGACGCCTCCGTTCCGCCCTCACCGAAAGGTTTCCTCGATCTCGGCCAGGCTCGTCTCCTTCTCCACCACCAGGAAGTTGGGCCGCCGGTGCTTGTCCAGCTCGCCGATGCCGCCCAGCAGGAACCCGGTCACCGTGTCCTCATCGCCCATCACGGCGATCAGCTTCCCGCGGCCCGCCATGCCCGTGCCGCGCCGGGACCGGGGCCCGCCGGGATCGGGACCCTCCGGCAGCCGCCGCCGGGAGCAGGAGCGGGATCTGGACCGACCGGGAGCGACCGGAACCCGCCGGGAGCCGCCGCCGCCGCTTCCGGGTCCCGCCGCCCCCGTGCTGGACACGCCCCCCAGCTCGCCCCGCCCGCCCCGCCCCGGGAACTCGGCACTCCGCCCCCTCCGCCGGTGAGCCACGCCCCCGCCGGTGAGCCACGCCCCCGCCGGTGAGCCACGCCCCCTCGCAGCGCCGGCTCCGCCTCTCCTGTAACGCCCCGGTAACGCCCCGGGCCCGCAGGCCCCGCCTCCCGCCGTTGTGGCCCCGCACGCGCAGCGCGCCGTGCCCTTGAGGGGACGCGGGGACGCCGCGGCCACAGCGCCCCCTGCCGGACGGCGGCACCGCGGGCGCCTCCGCGCCCGTCCCGCACCCCAGGGACCCCCTCGTTCTGCCCCAGACCCCCAAACCTCAGTGTCCCCCTCCGGACCACCCCATCCCGCGCCACGACCTCATAATCCCACCCTGGACCCCCCTCAAGGGCCCTCCAGGACCATGACGCGCTGCCCCGGACCCCCCCAGCACTCCGGTGTCCTGCTCGGGGTCACTCAGCCGTCACCCCCACATCACGCCCCGACATCACTCAGACAGACAGCTCCTCCTCTCCCAGTGCTTTATTGCCAGGCCCGGGCCCCCCCCAGACCCCCGGGGGGCTCTCAGGCGGCGGTGACGCGGAAGGGGCTGCCCGGCACGTCGCGGTCCCCCCAGCGCAGCAGCAGCACGTACTCGCCCCGCTCCCGCACGCTGTAGGTCACCGTGTACACCCGGTTCCCCTCGTGCTTCACGTGCACCTCCTCGCACGGCGCCTTGGGGCCGTGCACCCCCACCAGCAGCATGTTTGTGCCTGGGGGGAGGACAGGGGGTGACATCCTGACCTGAGGTCTCCCCGCCAGCGCACCCCGCACCTCCCACTGCACCTCACACCTCCCACTGCATCCCACACCTCCCACTGCATCCCAGACCCCCCAATGCATCCCACACCTCCCACTGCATCCCACACCTCCCACTGCATCCCACACCTCCCACTGCATCCCACACCTCCCACTGCATCCCACATCCCCCACTGCATCCCACACCTCCCACTGCATCCCAGACCCCCCAATGCATCCCACACCTCCCACTGCATCCCAGACCCCCCAATGCACCCCACAGTCCCACTGCATCCCACACCCCCCACTGCATCCCAGACCTTGCACTGCACCCCACACCTCCCACTGCACCCCACACCTCCCACTGCATCCCAGATCCCCCAATGCACCCCACACCTCCCACTGCATCCCAGACCCCCAATGCACCCCATACCCCCACTCGCCCACCTCCCACTGCACCCCACACCCCTACTGCATCCCAGACCCCTCACTGCACCCCACAACTCCCATTGCATCCCACGTCCCCCACTGCATCCCAACCCCTCACTGCATCCCACACCCCCACTGCACCGCCCCCACCAGCAGCCTGTTTGTGCCTAGGGGGGGCACAGGAGGTGTCACCCTGAGCTTGAGACCCAAGAGCCCCCCAGTGCACCCCAAACCCCAACACTGCACCCAAGTCCCCCCACCGCACCCTCCTGCTGATCCACCCCAAACCCTCCCAGGACCCCCCCTGCTGACCCCCATCTCCTCCCCCCAGGCCCCCCCGGCCCCTCACCGGCCTTGCTGCAGTCCACTGTGAAGTGGTTCTTGTGGCCCAGGCGGGCGCTCGCCAGCCCCGGCCCTCGGGCCACCACCTGCCCCGCGTCCGACGGGGCCTTGGTGACCCCCCCGAAGGCAGGGGGGCCCCGCGAGCCCCCCCGTGCCACCGGCTCCACCAGCACCGTCGAGGTCTCGTGCAGGCTGTGCCCCCCCGACAGCCGAGGGCCTGGGGAACATGGGGGGGACGCTGTCAGCTCCCACCATGGGGACACCCCCCCACCGTCACACTGTGCTGGGGGGTTACAGCAGCACCTTCCAGGGACAGCCCATCATGTCACCCTGGAGCTCTTTCACCACGTCACCCACCCCCAGGACCCCCTGTGCCACCGCCCTGGGGACACCCCATCACGTCCTGCTGGTACTGCCTATGACGCCGCCCTGGGAACACCCCCGTTCATGTCACCCTGGGGGTCCTCCTGCCATCTCCCTGCCACCCCCATCATGCTCATCACTGACCCTTGTCACTCCACACTGGGGACCCCCGACTTTCCCCCCCAGATCCCCTCTCACCCATTCCCCCATCCCCGTGTCCCCCCCCAAGCCATACCGGTGACCTTGGCCTTGAAGGGGCTGCCCACGATGTGGTGGGGACCCCCGTACTTGATGGAGATGAGGTAGTTGCCAGGGGCCATGGGGGTGTAGGTGACACGGTGGCCCTCAGGGACCTCAGTGCAGTCCAGCTCCACCTTGGAGGGGCCATCGATGGTGACGGCCAGTGCCCCTGCCCCTGCGTTGGCCGTCTGCACCAGGAACTCCGAAGGCACCCCTGGGACACAGGGGACACGAGGATGGCACCATGGGGGGGGACACTGTGACCCCACTGTGGCCACCACCCACGGCCACGTCCCCATCACGTCAATTCCTGCGGCCACATCTCCACTGTCACCACCATGGCCACATCTCCATCCTCGCCCCCACACGGCCATGGTGTCCCCAACCCCCTCCCACAGCCGTGTCCCTGTCTCCACAGCGGTGTCACCTGTGCGGCCGCCCTCGAGGCCGGGCCCGAAGGCGGTGACGAGCCCGGGGTCCCCAGCCTGGCTCTGCTCGCCCACGCGGATGTTGAAGGGGCTGCCGGGCACGTGGCGCCCGTTGAAGCGCAGGTCGATGGAGTGCACCCCGTTCTCACGCGGCAGGAACCCCAGCGCGTACCGGTCTGGGGGAAGCACACATGGCACCGTGTCCCCGTGATCTGTGTCCCCACACCCCGCGTCCCCACACCCAATTTTCACACAGCAGGACCCCCAGTGTGTGTTGGTCTGGGGGAGCACTGTGTCACAGCAGTGTCCCCATGTCCCATATCCCTATGTCCCCGTGTCCCTGTGTTTCCCTGTGCCCACACCCCATTCTCACACGGCAAGAACTCCAGCATGTATCGGTCTGGGGGGACAGACTGGTGTGTCCTGTGTCCCCATGCCCCGTGTCCCTCTGTCCCCATATACCTCATGTCCCCGAGCCCCACATGCCATGTCCCCATGCCCTGTGTCCATCCCCCCCCAATCCCCAAGCCCAGTGCCCCCACAGTGTCCCCTCACCGCTGTCCAGCTCGGACACGTAGCACTCCTCCACCACCCCCGCAGGCGTGTGCACTTTGGCGTCGATGACCCCGCGCGCCCCGTTCAGCTGCACCGCAAACGACGCCGGCTGGTTCACGGCCACCGTCTCCTGCAGGGACACCACGGTGGCATCAGGGACACAGGCAGGACAGGGGGGCACCATGGGGCCCAGGGGTGACAGGTGGTGGCAGCAGGGAGGGTCCCAAGGGTGACATGGGGAAGAGAGAGAGTGGCCCTCAGAGGGTCCCAAGGGTGCCACAGGAGACCCAAAGGAGTGGGAGTCCCAAGGGTGCCACAGGGGCTCAGAATGGCCCCAGGGGTGACCTGGGGACCCAGAGAGTGTCTGGGAGCCCAGGGTGACACGGTGGGTGTCCCCAGTACCTGCAGGCTGGTGACAGTGAGGCGCCGGGCGTCGTCAGAGTGGGAGGCCACGGGGACAACAAAGGGGCTGTCGGGGATGTGCTCCTCGTTGAACTTGATGGACACTTCATAGTCACCTGGGGGACACGTGGACAGTCAGGTGGGGACCCCACACACCAAGACCCCACACAAAGGGACCCCACACATGAGGAAACCCTTCCGTGGGGACACCTGTGCACAGAGACATCCTTATGTGGGGACACCCTCACCTGGGGACATCCTCAGACTTGGGGACACCTTTGCATGGGGGTCCCACAGTCCTGGCCCCAGGCTTACCACCATTTGGGGGGGCAGGGGGGAAGGTTCTTGGTGTGTTGGGAGTGTTGGGGGGCAGTGGGGGCAGCCCCTGCTCACCTGGCTCCTGCACCAGGTAGGAGACACCACAGGAGCCGTCCTTGCGGTCCTCGAAGGAGATCTCAGCCTTGCTGGGCCCCTCGACAGCGATGGAGAGACCCCCCGCGCCCGCCTCGCGCGTCCAGATGCTGAACTCAGCTGGGGGAGGGGGGCACCAGGGTCACCCCGGCCCCCAGTGGCACCCCAGGACAGTCACAGACCTGCACCCACCCCAAGGCACCCAGATCTCCCATAGCACCCTCACATTGCCCCCACACCCAACTGTACCCAAATCCCCCATCACAGCACCCCAGAGCCCCCAATTTCACCAACATCCTCTCTACCCCTAGCACCTCCCCATTGCCCCCATCACCCAATAGCACCCAGACCCCCACTGTCCCCCTCAACAACCCCAGCCCCACAACAGCACCCACACCCCATTGACCCCCACGTCTCCCTCATTGCCCCCCCATCCCCATCACACACAGAACCCCCATATCTCCCCAGTCCTCCCCACGCCCCCATGCCTTCCCCATACCCAGCTGACCCCCCTGTACCTGGCAGACCCCACCATCCCAGGCAGACCCCACCATCCCAGGCAGACCCCCGTACCTGGCGTGCCGGCCACGGCGCGCTGAAGGCCGGTGCCCCCCGCGCGCACCTTGTGGGCACCACCCTCTCCCAGGGGACCCACGGTGAACTGGAAGGGGCTCCCGGGAACGTGCTGCCCCCGGAACTTGACGCTGACGGTGTGGGCGCCCGTCTCCTGGGGCACGAAGCGCACGCTGTAGACCCCCGCGGCCCCCGGCACCACCTCGGCCTCGCGCCGCTGCCCCGACGGGCTCAGCACCTGCGCTGTCAGCTCCTGCACCGACGCCTCGCCTGCAGGCACACACCTCGTCACCCCAGGCACCTGGGCACCCCAGCGTTACTTTGACATCACCCCACTGTCACCCCATTGCTGTGCCGCTATGGTGCCCCATCGCTACGGCACGCTGTCACCCTGCCACCAGGGCACCTCGTCACCGCATCACTCCATCATCCTGTAAACCTGGCGCCCTAACACTAGGGCACCCCAGCACCTCAGCACCCCATCTCCTCACTGACATGTCACTATGGCACCCCAGCACCAGAGCACCCTGGTACCCCAGCATCCTGTCACCAGGGCACTGTGTCATCCTGTCACCCTGTCGCTCTGGTACCTGGGCACTGGGGTACCCCACTGCCTCGTCACGTCGTCACCATGGCCCCAGGGCACCCTGGCACCCCAGGACCCTGTCACGCCGTCACTGTCACCTCACCATCCTGGCCCCAGGGTGCCCTGACATCCAGACACCCACTAGAGCCCATATGCACCCCCTGTGCCCCTTCACACACAGAGGACACACGTGTGCTTGCCAGCACGCAAATGCTCACACAAGCACAGACGCCTGTGAGTTTGCACACTCATGCCAAGGGCACACACAACCCTCTCAGCAGGTGTGGACCCAGCGTGAGCACACACGCCCCTGTGAGCACACACACCCCTGTGAGCACACACACCCTCCCTGAGCAGCTGGGCACCCCTGTGAGCACACACACCCCCCCCACGAGCAGGTGTGCACGCCTGCTTGTGCAAAGGGCCAGCGTTGCCCCCAACCTCCGTGCACGTCCCCTCGCGAAGGGCAGCACCCCCCTGGTGAGCGTGGCAGCCCCCGTGCGTGTGCCAGGGAGTGTCCCAGCTCCATCCCCAGGCGTGTCCTGGCCTCGTGCGAGGGGCACGTGCAGGTGGGAGTGGAAAGGCGTGTGCTGAGCCCTCGTGTGAGCACACACAGCCCCTGTGAGCACACGCAGCCCCGTGCAAGGGGCACTCCCACGTGCAAGTGTGCCCAGCCCCCGTGCAATCCCAGTGCCCTGCACAGCCAGCCCTCATGCAAACCCAGCCCTGTGCAAACACACCGGTGCTCCCCTGCACCCAGTCCTCGTGCAAACACTCCCCTGCACTCACACACCCCTCGTGCAAGCCCATGCCCTGCCCCAGAGCACACGGCCCTCGTGCAAACACCCCCACGTGTGCCAGTGCAGCTGCCCCCATGCAGGCACGGTGCCCAGCTCGCCCACCCCCGTGCACCTCCAGCCCTCGAGCAATGCCCCGCACACACAATCCCCCCGCAGGACCCACCCTCGTGTGTGCGTGCAGGGGCCCCGAAGGCACCGATGCCCTCGCGGGGCCCGAAGGCCCCGAAGGTGCCGAAGGGCTCCGGAGGGGCTCGGGGGAAGGCGCCGCCCACGCGGGTCGACTCCTCCACGTGCACCTCGCGCGTGGTCTCCCCGCCGCGCGTCTTGCTGATCTCGGTGCGCTCCGTGCGCGTGTAGGTGTGGCTGCTGCGCGTGAACGTGCGCGTCAGCCGCTCCTGCGCCGACACCATCTGGAACCAGTTCCCTGGGGAGCGCCCCGCGGGGACACGGGCGGACAGCGGGGACACACGGGGACAGTGGGGACACGAGGGGACCACGGGGACACGAGGGGAACCACAGGACGTGGGCACGGGGAGGGAGAACAGAAGGGCGCACGGAGGAGTGGTGGGGACGTGGATGGAGACAGGGTTGGATGGATGCAGGGATGGATGTAGGGATCGGTGGAGACACGAACAGGTGGAGACAGTCGTGGTCACGGGGATGGAGGCAAGGATGGACGTGGAGACAAGGATGATGGAATCGTGATGGGTGGAGACATGGGTGGTCACGGGGATGGAAGTTGGGGTTGGTGCGGGGAGAGATGGACACGGGGATGGATGTAGGGAGGGTTGCAGGGATGTATGGAGCCACGGGCGGATGAAGCCAGGGATGGACACACGGACAAAGGTGTGGATGGAGGTACCGGTGGGTGGTGGCACAACCAGAGGGACGCACAGAGGTGCAGATGCACGGAAGGACACGGACACAGACACACAGAGGGGAGAGAAGGAAGAAAGAGGGAGAAGTCAGAGCTGGAATGGCTGAGAGGCACCTCAGCCCACGGAAGAGGAGGATGAGGGATGATGAAGGAGGAGAGGAGGAGGAGGAGGAAGAGGAAGGCCAAGGCTACCTGGGATTTTGAGGTTGAGGTCACAGGTGCTACCAACGGTGGCGATGGAAGGTGCCTGCCGTCGGCGTGTGATGCTCTCCTTCATCCGGCCCTCACCCGTCACCTTCACTGTGAAGGGGCTCCCTGCAGGAGAAGGTCACCTCAGGGAGCTGTCACCCCCTCCCAGGGTCCCAGCACCCTGCACTGCACCCCTGTGCCCCCCCTTGTCCCCCTGGTCCCACCTGGGACATGTTTGTCAGCAAACTTGATGTTGATGATGTAGTTGCCGGGCTCGGTGGGGCAGTAGGTGACCTTGCAGGTGCCGTCCTCCACGTCCTCACAGTTGATGTCCACCTTGCTGGGGCCCTCAATGGACAGGCCTAGCCCACCATAGCCTGGGCAACCAGAGGGACACACTCAGAGGTGTCCCATGGCAGCTCTCCCTGTCCTGGACACAGCCACACCATGGACACCACCCCAACCCAGCCATCAAAGCCACCACCCCATCCTGGCCATGGCCATGTCGTGGTCACCACAGCACCACTCTCTCAGCTGCACTGTGGCCACGGCCACCACTCCATCCTGGCCATGGCCACACCACAGCCATAACCATGGCCACCACCCCATCCTGTGCTGGCCATACCTGTGGCATGGCCTTAGCCACCTCCCACATGGGTGATGGCTATGCCACCACTGTGGTCACCACCCCATCCTGCTGGCTGCAGCTGTGGCATGGCCTTGGCCCTCAAATCATCCTGGCTATGGCCACACCACCACCACAGCCACCACCCCATCCTGGCCCTGGCCACGGCCAACTCTCCCCCCAGCCTCACCAGCGCTGCGTGTGTCCACGATGAACTCAGCCACCTCGAAGGTGTGGCCCTCCAGCAGCCCCTGGCCCCACACCTTGACCCGGCCGGCATCGCCGATCTCCGACTGCCCCACCAGGATCTTGAAGGGGCTGTTGGTGACGTGCTGCCCGCTCTTCCGCACGCTCACCACGTGCTCGCCCACCTCCTTGGGCGTGAAGGAGATGCCTGGGGGGGACACCGTGGTCACAGCCTGCCATCAGCCCATAGCCACCACCACCAGCCCTGGCCATCACCAACCTGTGACTACAACCACCAGCCGCTGGGCCAGACACCCAGCCCTGGCCATCTCCTCCAGCCCTTGGCCACCACCACCAACCTCTGGGCAATTCTACCAACCCGTGGTCACCATAACTGTGTCCATCAGTCCCTCATCACCACCCACACCTCCTGACCATGGCCACCAATCCCTGGTGACCCAGTGCCATGGGGCCACCCATCCCTGTGATTTCACAGCCCCACTGTCCCCCGTCCCACCAAGTCCCAGATCCACCTCTCATGAGCCCCTGTCCCAGTTCTCCTGTGTCCCTACAGTGTCCCCACGCACCGATGTGGCGGTTGGGCAGCCTCTTGAGCAGGCAGGGCTCCTCGTTGCCCGAGGGTGCGCGGATGGTGGCCGCCAGCAGGCTCAGGTCGGTCTCTGCGATCTTCAGCGACACGTCGGTCGAGGTGCCCACGTTGAGCTGGGACGTGCGCATGGAATCGTCCCCTGCAGAGATGCCAGCAGAGGGGACATCAGCTCCAGGTGGGAGGCAGGATGGGTGGGGTCCCAAAGGGACCACACAGCTGTTTGATGGGGTCCCAGTGGCCATAGGGAAGGTGTCCCCGTGACCCCACAAGTGTTCCCATGACAATGCCATAGTCCCCATGACCACACAGGTGCCTCCATGGCCATGTGGAAACCCCGAGGACCCCCAAGCCCCTGCTGTCCCCCCCCCATCTCACCGGTGATCTTGGCTGTGAAGGGGCTGCCCGGGATGTGCTTGTCGTCGAAGCGCACGATGATGCTGTAGTCACCAGGAGCTGTGGGCAGGTAGGACACAGTGCACGTCCCGTCCTTGTTGTCCTGACAGGTGATCTCTGCCTTGGAGGGACCTTCCACTGCCAGCGACAGCCCACCTGGGGGTACGGAAGGCATCAGGACGTGTCAGGAGGCACCAGGGGTCTCCAGCCCCGCCCTGGTGGCACTGCAGGGTCCCCATGACCATCCCAGCCCCCCCTTGGCCACCACTCACCCTCGCCGGCGTCCTTGGTGACGATGGTGAAGGTGCAGGGCTTGTTGACCATGCCGTGGCTCAGCCCCGGCCCGTAGGCACTGACGTGGCGTGGGTTGATGGCGTCCACGTAGAACTGGAGGGGACTCCCTGGGGACACGGACATCGACAGTCAGGGGCCCCACGGGGACCAGGGACGCCAAAGGGACACCCCACAGAGACACCCACACCGTGGTGGGCACTCAACTCATGGGTGTCCAACCAGGGACCCAACGAGGACACCTCGACACCAGTCAGGCCATGGTGACATCGACCTTCCTCAGCCACCTCCCAGTGCCCCGCAGTGGCTCACCAGGGATGTGGTTGCCGTCGTAGCGGATGTCCATCTCGTGCAGCCCCTTCTCGGAGGGGGCATAGTGCACCGTCACCGTCCCGTCCTTGTTGTCGGTGATGCTGGGCCGTGCCGTCTTCCCCGAGGGCATCCGCACCTCGCCTGGGGGCACGTTGTGTCAGCAGAGGCACCGAGGGGGGCTGGTGCCTCACAGGGTGCTCCCTTTCCCCCCGAGCCCTGCCCTGTACCTGTGATCTCACCCTTCTGCACCGTGAAGGGGATGACGAGGTTGAAGGGCCGGAGGTTCTCGGCGGTGGCCGGGGGCTCGTCCGTGGCCTGATTGTATGGCAGAGAGGAGGGTGAGAACCCCGTGGTGGGCTCCCAGCCCCAGAGTGACCCTCACAGCCTACAAACCCCACCATGACCCTGCCCACCATGACCCTGGCCCCATGGCACTCACCATGGTCACCCAACCCCATGGTTAGACCACAGTCTAACCCTAACCCTAACCCACCACGTCTTCCAACTCTCTTAGCTCCATGATGGCCACCATGGTCCTGTCACTGCCCCAGGGTGCCCACCAGGGTCTCGCAATTCCACGACTCCCGTCATGGTTACCCAGCCCTGCGGTGCCCATTGTGCTCTCGTTACTCCTCACTGACCAACTCTCTCTCCCTTGGTGCCCACCACGATGTCCAACCCCACCACAGCCTCCCTGCTCCACAGTGTCACCCTGGTCTCCAAAATCTCTGTCCCATGGTGCCCAGTGTGCCTTCAACCCTGCCCCTTGGATCCACCACAGTCTCCCAGCCCCATGGCACCCACGGTGGTCTCCCTACTCCATGCCAGAGACCTCCCAAACTCTGCCCCATGTGGTGCCTACCACAACCCCCCAGACTCACAGAAACCCCACCCACCACGGTCCCCAACCCACCAGGACATGAAAGGGGCTGTTGGGGACGTGCTCCCCGCCGAAGCGGATGGTGATGACGTATTTGCCAGGCTCGGGCGCGGTGTAGAAGATGTCGAAGGTGCCGTCGTGGTTCTCCACCACGTCCACGTCCAGCTCGGCGCCGTCGGGAGTCGACACCTTGCAGGTGACCTTGCCCTGTCCCGCTGCCTTTGCGTCCACCGTGATCACCGTCTCCTCCCCAATCTGGATGGTGGGGCCCAGGCAGGCACCTGCGGGGAAGGGCAGGGTCAGGGCCGTGGGGGGACCCCAAACCTACCCTCCCCTCAACTGCCCCCCCTCAGCCCCCCAAGTGCCCCCCCGGCGCCACTTACCCAGTCCATGGCCCCCAATGGATACTGCAAGAGAGACCAGGGAGAGCGGTGAGAAGGGGTTGGGGGGGCTACTTGAGGGGCCGGGGGCCGATGGGGCCGGGGGGCTTCGGGGGGGCCGGCACGTCCTGTCCTGAGGGCACCCACTCATCCCCACTGCGCCATGGGGCAGGGCTAGGGGGCTCTGGGGGGTGCTGGGGACAGCGGTGGGGCAGGTGGGGGTGCTGGGGGGCAGTGGGGTGTGCCGGGGGCAGCGGTGGGGCAGGTGGAGGTGCTGGGGGGCAGTGGGGAGGTGCTGTGAGGCAGCAGTGGGGCAGATGGGGTTGCTGGGGGGGCAGCAATGGGGTGCCAGGGGGCAAGGCAGGGGTGTCTGGGGTAGGGTGGGTGCTGTGGGGCAGCAAGGGGACACTGTGGGTCAGCATGTGGATGCCGTGAGGTAGGAGGGATGCCATGGGGCAGCACGGGGACACGGTGGGTCAGCGAGGGATGCGGTGGGCCAGCGAAAGGACACCACAGGGCAGTGAGGGGATGACACGGGGCAGCGAGGGGACACCGTGGGTCAGTGAGGGGATGCTGTGGGTCAGTGAGGGGATGCTGTGGGTCAGCGAGGGATGGCATCGATCAGCACGAGGACACTGTGGGGCAGCCCCACCTGTGACGAGGCACTTGCTGGCATCGCCGGCAGGCACAGCGAGGACGCGGAAGGGCGACGCGGGGATCTCATCCCCCCCGTACTTGACGGTGCTGGTGTAGCGCCCCGGCACGTCGGGCACGTAGGACACCGTGTAGGTGCCGTCCCCGTTGTCCCGGATCGATGCCTTCTTGGGCTGCCCCTCGGGGTCCTGCGGGCAACCCCCCATCAGCACCCCGGTACGTGGGGGAAAGGGCACCCCATGTATCCCCCTGGCACTGAGCAGGATCTGCACCATGAGCAGCCCTCGCCTGCTCCCCACATCCCCCCGTGTTCCCCCCTGCATTGAGCAGGATCTGCACCATGAGCAGCCCTCGCCTGCTCCCCACATCCCCCCGTGTTCCCCCCCTGCATTGAGCAGGATCTGCACGGTGAGGAGCCCCTCGCCAGCGTCGCGGGCGTCGATGGTGAACTCAACGGGGAGGCTGGCGGGGATGCCCCCCGCGCTCAGCCCGGGGCCGCTCGCCCGCACCTTGCTGGCATCGTGGGCTGGTAGCGCTGTCACCTTGAAGGGGCTGCGAGGGGGTAGGGGGTAAGGGGGGAGCAGGGACCCCCAGGCTGCGTGGGGGTCCTGTGTCCCCACCCGCTCACCCACCTCGGGTGAGGTCTCACCTGCGTGGCACCTCCTGCCCTCCGTACTTGACGGCCACGGTGTAGGGCCCGTCGGTGGCCGGGGTGTAGGTGACCTTATGGGTGCCGTCACCATTGTCTCGGACCTCCAGGGGCTCTGGTAGCCCTGTGGGGCAGCAGAACGTGTGGGGGGTGGTGATATGTGAGGCGGGGGGGACACATGGGCAGGGGAACACGGAGGGTATAGAGCAGCATGTGGGGCAGGACATCCCTGAGCAGGGAACTCCATGAGGCAGGAGACCCTAGGGAGAAGGGGAGCCATGGGGCTGGACATCCCGTGGAGCAGGATGCCCATGGGTAGGACACCCTATAGAACAGGGCACACCACAGGGCAGGACACCCTATGGACACATGGCATCCACGGGGTTGGACAAGCCACCACGCAGGACATCTATGGGTCAGGACATCCCAAAGACACCCTATGGACTATGGGATCCACTGGGCAAGGTTAGGACACCCCACAAGACAAGGCCTCCACCCCCCCATGTCCCCACGTACCGGCAGGCCCCAGCAGCGTCACCTCGAGGGCTGCACGCCCCGCGGCGCTGACGTCCACGGTGAAGGTCTGGGGCAGCCGTGCACGGACGGTGGGGCCCAGCCCCGGTCCCGAGCACGTCACCTTCGAGGGATCCACGGTATCCCGCACCCGCACCCGGAACGGGCTCCCTGCACGGGGAGGGGGTGTCAGTGCATGGAGTGGGCGCTGCGGGGGCAGGGCAGGGTGGGGACAGGAGTGGCATGGCCATTGGGTCAATGTGGGCATGGGGTCAGCATGAGGGTGAGGTCAGCATGGCCCTGGGGTCAATATATCCATAGGGTCAGCATGGGCTGTAGGATCAGTGTGTTCATCGTGGGCATGGGCACAGTGTGGGGCCAATGTGTTCATGAGGGTGACACACCCACGGGGCCAACACATACGTGGGGTCCACATGGCCATGGGTTCAAAATGGGCATGGGGACAGCATGACCAGAGGGTCAATGTGGCCATGGGGTCACCGTGGGCACAGTGACTGCATGGCCATGGGATCAGCGTGGCGAAGGGCTCGGCACGGGCACGGGCACAGTGTGGCTATGGGGTCATTGTGGGATATCAAAGGGCCGCGCCCATGGGGACAGCACAGGCAGGGGACAGCTTGGGCACGGGGCCACCATGGTGTCATACACCACCAGGACCCCTCTCCCACCCGCCCATCCCCGTGTCCCCACGCACCGGGGATGGGGTGGCCACCGAAGGTGATGTTGACGTCGTAGTCGCCGGGCGTGAAGGGGACGTACTCCACCGCACAGCTCCCGTCCTTGTTGTCCTTGCAGGACATCTTGGCCTCCGAGGGACCCTCGATGGCCAGACCCAGCCCCCCGGTGCCCGCGCCCCTGGGGAGAAAACACTGCTCAGGGAGGGTGACACGGGCATGGTGGGACCATGGGGAAGAACAGCTATGGTGGGGAGAGGGAGGTGACACAGTGGCAGTGGGATGGAGGTGCCAGCTCCATGGCAAGGGGAGGGAGGTGCCACCACCAAGGCAGTGAGGTGGGGGTGCCATGCTGGTGGCAGGGAGATGGAGGTGGCACACCGATGGCAGAGGGTGGAGATGCCCGGTTGGTGACAAGGGATGGAGGTGGCACCTCCGTGTCAAGGGGGCAGAGATGCCGTTGGTGATATGGGACAGGCAGGGGATGGAGATGCAGGTTTGGTGACCTGGGATGGAGGTGGCACATCCAAGAGAGGGGGCACAGGCAGTACATCCAACGCAAGGGGATGGACGTGGCTCCTCCGTGGCAGGGGATGGAGATGGTGGGTTGGTGGCCTGGGACCGAGGTGACACCTCTGGGGGGAGGTCTGTGGGTGTGGGGTGGTGGCAGGGTGGGAGCTGAGGGGCTCGGGGTCAGTGCCCACCTGGTCTCCACGGTGAAGTGGTTGGCTGTGCCCACCAGGCCGCCCTCCAGGCCGGGACCGTGTGCCCGCACACGGGTGGGGTCACAGCCCTCAGTCACCCCCACGCGGAAGGGGCTCTTCGGGACCGCCACATCATCGTATGTCACCTCCACCCGGTGCAGCCCTGGGACAGGGACAGTCACACACTGCCCACAGCAGGGTGGGGGGTGTCTCGGAGAGGGGCTGGGGGCTCTCAGGGGATTTGAGGGTCCCTGGGTAGAGCTCAGGTGGAGGTTGGGGATCCCTTGGTGGGTTGGAGGTGGTTCTTAAGTGGTTTTGTGGGGGTTTCAGGGAATTTGGGGGCCCTGGGTGGGGTTTGGAGGGTCTCAGGGACTTTGGGAATCCCTTGGAGTGGGGAGTCTCAGGAGGTTTGGGGGTTCTTGAATGAGGTTTTGGGGGCTGGTTGGGGGTCCCTGAGTGAAGTCTGGGGCTGTCTCAGGTGGTTTTGGGGTCTGTGGTTCTGGGGGTTCAGGGGGAATCGAGCGCAGTTCCCCACTTGGATGTGGTTTGGTAAGGTCCCTCTCTAGGGGTCCCCCATGGGGGACAAAGGATGCCTGGCCAGGAGTTGGGGTCCCATGGGGGTGTTGGTGTCCTGGGGGGGTGCAGAGAGAGTCCCTGTCGGGGCTCAGGGTCCCTGGGGGTCCCCAGGGGGTGCTGGGGTTCCTGGGGGGCTGTGGGGGTCCCTCACCTTCCTCGAAGGGTGTGTACTCCACGCGGTAGGTGCCATCGCCGAGGTCGGTGACGAAGGTGTCGATGGGGGTCCCCGAGGGGTTCAGCACCCGCGCCCGGACGTGGGGTCCCCCCGCGGGGGCCAGAGCCCGCGCATCCACCGTGAACTCAGTGCCCACCTCCCGCAGCACCCCTGGGGGGCACAGGAGAGTCAGGGGGGGCCCGGAGCTCACCTGGGGGTCCCTCCCTGTGCCCCCTGAGCATCCATGGCCCTCTCAGCACACACAGGGGGTTCAGGGGTGTCCTGGCACACGCCCCCAGCCCCATCCCGCACTCTCTGAAACCCCAGAGTCCACCATCCCCCCATGGGAGAGGTGAGTGGGGGGGAAGCCACGGAGACCCCTGAGCAGTGGTGGGGTTAGGAGGACAGGGGAGGAGGTGCCTGTGGGGAGAAGATGCCTGTGGGGTGCCCAGGAGACCCCCCCATGAGAGAGGGCACCTGTGGGGAGGGGGTGTCCATGGGGTGACCAATCAGGAGATGTCGGTGCCCATGGGGGTGTCCATGGCCATGGGGTTTTCCATGCAAGGAGGAGGTGTCCGTGGAGAGGAGAGGTCCATGGGGTGCAAACGACCCACCCCCAAGAGAGGGGATACCCATAGGGTGCTCATGGGGACAAGGTGACCGTGGGGTTGGGATGCCCGTGAGTGGGTGTGTCCATGGAGAAAGGATGCTCACAGGGATGGGGTGTCCATGGAGATGCCCATGGAGGGGAGATGCCCGTGGTGGCATCCACGGGGAAGACATGCCCACAGGGAAGGAACACCCTTGGGGAGAAGGGCATGGGGAGGAGGTGGCTGTGGGGAGACTGGGGGAGGAGGTGCCCACATGGATGGGATGCCTATGGGGAGGAGATCCCTGTGGGAAGGGAGGTGCCCGTGGTGAGCAGCCCCTGCATGGCCACCCCCTCACCTCGCGGCTCCACGCCTTTGCCGTAGACCTTGACGCTGCTGGTGTCGACGGCCGGGTCGACGGTGACGCGCACGGGGCAGTTGGGGACCGGGAGGCCGCCGTAGTTGATGGTGATGGTGTAGGCGCCGGCGCAGGCCGGGGTGTAGGTGATGGCGTAGGTGCCGTCGCGGTTGTTCTGCACCAGCACCTCGGCCTTGGCGCCGGCCTCGGAGCGGATCTCGATGGTGAGCTCGGCCTCGCCGGCCTGCGAGCAGTCCACGGAGAAAGCGGCCGCCTCGCCCGCGCGGCCGCGCTCCAGCCCCGGCCCCGACGCCGTCACCTTGGCCGGGTCGAAGGGCGCCGTGACCGCGGCCGTGAAGGGGCTGCCCGGGATGTGGCGCCCGGCGAAGAGGATGTTGATGTGGTACTCGCCGGGCACCGTGGGCAGGTAGGACACGGCGCAGGAGCCGTCCCCGTTGTCCTGGCACTCGATCTTGGCCTCGCAAGGCCCCTCCACCGTCAGCCCCAGCCCCCCGCTGCCAGCACCCTGCGTGGCGATGGAGAAGGGCGCCGGGACCCCCACACGGCCGCCCTGCAGCCCCGGTCCCGAGGCCACCACCTGTGGGCACAAGGACACAGGGGGGTCAGGAGGGACAGAGACGTGTGGGGGACCCCCACACCGCAGCCACGGCCCCAAAGCCACCACCTACAGGCAGAGGGACGCGTGGGGTTCAGGGAGGACATGCAGGGGTCACAGGGGGCACCCAGGTGTGCCAGCTCACCTTGGAGGGGTCGGGGGGCAGCAGTGCCTCCACGGGGAAGGGGCTGCCCGGCACTGGGTGCCCATCGTAGGTGATCTCGACGCGGTGGGGCCCCTCCTCGGAGGGGGTGAAGCTGACGGGGTGGGGACCCCCGGGGGGCGCAGGTCCCACCGTGCAGGGCACGGGGCGGCGTGAGGGGCCCGTCACCTTCACCTCCAGGTGCCCCTGGCCCCCCGCACCCTGAGACTCCACCTGGAACTCCTGCACCTGTCCCACCTCCGCCTCTGTGGAGGAATGGGGGTCAGGGGGGCACCCTGCGCTCAGGGGGGGTCACACACAAACCCCTGGGGTGCCCCCAGATCCTCCATGGTGAACCCCACACCCAGGTATGTCCCCCAGACCCAGGGGTGTGTCTGTGTGTGTATCCCAGAGTCCATCACCCCTACCCAAGGGTGTTTCCCATCACGTCCAGGGTGTTGTGCCACCCACAGGGTGTGTCACCCTCCTTGCCGTGCCCCCACCCATGGGTGTCCCCCATATCCAGGGTGTCCCCCACCCACAGAGGGTCCTCCCCCACATGCTGCCCTCCATCCCCAATGTCCCTGCTGTCATGTGCCCCAACCCCATGATGAACCCCACAGCCAAGGGTGTGCCCCCCATCAGAGTGCTCCCCATATCCAGGGTGCCTTCCCAGGCTGACCCCCCCCATTCAGGTTCGCCTTCCACCAGGGTGTGTCCCCTTAGGGTGCCCCCACGCTCAAGTGTCCCCCCCAGGGCCCCTTCCCATGCTGTACCCCACATCCAGAGTGCTCCCCCCACCAGTGCCCTCCCCAGTGCCCCCCCCAAGTGCCCCCACTCACTGCTGTTGAGCCCCTGCACTTTGACCTTGCCCAGCTGCAAGGGGGGGGCCACGGTGACAGGGAAGGGGCTCTTAGGAATGGGGTCTCCTCCGTAGGTGACCACCACGGACAGGGGGCCCTGCAGGGACATTGTCACCTCAGGGTGCTGCTGGGGGACACCGACACCCAGCAGCGGGGCAGGGCACCCACAGAGGGGTGCTGGGGGTCACCCGTGGGTGCTAGAGGGGGCAAAGTCCCAGGGATGGGGGGTCATTTGTTGATCTGGGGGTGCCCTGGGGTGACTGGTGCCTGTGAAGGGGTGTAGCTGCCCCACGGGAGTACCCACAGGGGTGGGGTATCCACGTGAAGGGGGGTGTTCATAGGGGTAGGGTGCCGAGGGGATGGGAAGCTCATAGGGGTGCCCATGGAGCCACTGGGCTGTCGGGGGGGATGTCCTTTTGGGTTCCCAGGGGATGGGGTGTCAATGAGCAGGCCCTGATGGGGTGACCCTATGGGTTGGGGTGCACAGACAGGTTGGGATGCCTCCATGAGGTGACCCCATGGGTCAGGTCCCCACAGGGTTATGGTGTCCCCTCACGGATCAAGGTCCCTCCCCCCAGGTCAGGGTGCCCCCTCCCATGTGTCAGAGTGCCCCAGCACCCACCTGCTGCAGCGGGGTGTACTTGACGGTGTAGGAATAGTCGTGATTGTCGATGACCTCGAAGTCGGCGACGGCCGGGCCGGGCCCCGTCCCCGCAAACCGCACGTCCAGGGGGGCCTTCCCCGCCCCCCGCGTCTGCACACGGAAGTGGGTTGGGGTCCCCACCTCCACCCCTGCACATATCATCGGTCACTGTGGGACCCACGGCACCCGCAGGACTCACAGCCCCCGCCCCACGGCACCCAGAACTGGGTGGGGGTCGCTGCCTCCACCTCTGCACCCGTCATCAGTCACCGAGGGACCCACGGCATCGCGGTCCCAGCCCCACTGCAGCCCCTGCCCCACATCCCCCATGCCCACCCGTGCCCCACATCTCCCTCACCCGTGCGGCTGAGCCCGGGGCCCTCGGCCTTGACCTTGCTGGCGTCGTGGGACGGGTCCACCTTGATGCGGAAGGGACTGGAGGGGATCTCCTGGGGGACAGAGACCAGGGCACAGTGACACAGGGGCACCACAGGGGGATGGAGCTCCAGCCCCACCTGGCCCCCAGGGGTAGGGGGCACCCCCGGCACCCTCACCTGGTTGGCGAAGAGCACCATGATGGTGTAGAGCCCCGCGCCCGGCGCCGTGTACTTGACCGTGAAGGTGTCGTTGTCGTTCTTGATGATGTCAAAGTCGATGTCGGCCTCGAGGGGCCCCACCACCCCCGGGGCACACTTGATCCCAATGCTGACATCACCTGTGGGGGGCAGGGTCAGTGGCATCCACTGCCCTGGGGGGCACTGAGGGGTGGAACCAGGTAGACACGGGGTGGGGAGCAGGACCAGGACTATGGGCGATGAACAAGGAGCAGAGATAACGGACCAGGGATGCAGGTGCAGGAGCACGGATGCAGGCCCTGGAATCCTAGACCAGGACCAGGGACAATGGACCAGGAGCAGAGATGCAGGATCAGGAATGTAGGGACAGGACTGGGGCAGATGGAAACAGGACGAAGGAGCCCAGGACCAGGGATGCTGGTCCAGGGATGCACATGGAGGACCAGGAGGGAAGCAGAGGAGGACCAGGAATGCAGGATGAGGACCAGGGGTGCAGGACAAAGGACACAGTACACGAGTCTCATGCCCCACAGAGGGATCCCCAGGATGTCCCCCTTCCATTACCCACCCTGTCCAGCCTCACTGCAGTCCACGGTGAAGTAGGTGGGTTCATTGGCCTTCAGCCCCGTCTTCTCCACGCCTGGCCCGTGCACCTTCACCCTGCCAGGGTGGCTGCCCTCCCCCACGCTCACCTGTGGGCCCACAGTGTCACCTGCAGGGCAGGGGCATGGACCCCTCCCTGCCAGGCACCCCATGGGGCTGAAACCCCCAATTCCACCAGTGGCTCCCTAGCCCATCGGCCCATGGGAACCCCCCCATCCACATTTTGGCACCCTCCTCCATCCCCACCACACCATCCACACCACTCCAGGAGACCCTCAACCCCATCCCAGCACCCTTAATGGTCTGGGACCCCCATCCTCACATCCAGCACCCCGTGGGACCCCCATCGCCATCCACATCACCCCATGGGCCCTCAGCCCTACCCTGGCCCCCCATTCCCACGGGACCTCCATGCCCAGTGCCCCATGGGACCCCCACGTCCCACATCTGACGCCTCAACACCCTCCACGACTGGCACCCCCTCTCTGCGCCCCTTTGGACCCCCACAGCCACCCCAGCATCCCACGGGCCCCCCGGACACCCACGCGGAAGGGGCTGTTGGGGGTGTTGACGCCCCCCCAGGTGACGATGACCGTGTGCTTGATGGCTTTGGTGGGGACGTAGACGCAGTGGAAGGTGCCGTCACCGTTGTCCTTCACCTTGATGTCGATGGGGAAGCCCTCGGCGTCCTGCGGGCACCACGGGGGAGATGAGGGGACCCAGCGGCGCCCAAGGGTGCCCAAGGGTGCCCACCGGCACCCAACAGTGCTCAGTGGCACCCAACAGTGTCCAGCGTCACTCAACGGGACCCAGTAGTGCTCAGCAGGACTCAAAGGCGCTCAGCACCACCCCGTGTCACCTAAAGGCACTTACCTGTGCGTAGAGCTTGAGAGGCCCCTTGCCGGCACCACGGGCGTCGATGGTGAACTCGGCCGGGCGGTCCACGATGCAGCCCGTGGGCTCCAGCCCCGGCCCGAAGGCCTTCACCTGCACGGGGGAATCCAGGGGAGGTCAGGGGGGCACCGGCACCCCCAGAACCCCACGGGTGAGGTGCAGTGGGGTGCAGTGAGGCCCAGCAGGGAGCTGTGGGCGGCAGCACCTTGTCGGGCCAGGAGTCGGGGGGCGCGGGGCGGATGTCGGCCATGAAGGGGCTGTCCCGGATGTCCTCGTCGTCGCACACCACGTGCACGGCGTAGGGCCCCGGCTCGGTGGGCCAGTACCGCACGTCACATGAGCCGTCGCCCTTGTCGTCGCACTCGATGCGCGCCTGCGACGGGCCCTCGATGGAGAACCCTGGGGGCACCGCAGCCACCGTCACCCCGCGCCCCCACCGGGACCCCCGCGCCTCGTCCTCGTCCCCGCTCCCAGCCCATGTCCCCAGTGGGGTGACACCCAACGTGTCTTCGTGTCCCCGCAGCGGGAAGCCCCAGGTCACTGTCCCCTGTTCTGTGCCCGTGTCCTCAGGGCCCTGCTACCCATGTCCCCACATCCCTGCTGTGGCCACCCCCAGCCTGCCCCACATTCCCACCTTCATGGTCCCCACCCTGTGCCCATCTCACCGCAGTATCAGGGACCCCACCATGGCACCTGTCCTCCAACCTGTCCCCGTGTCCCCAGCGGGGTCTCACCCATTCCATACCCGTGTCCCCACACAGTGCCACCCTCCGCAGTGCCACGTCCCCACATACATTGTCCCCACATCCCCACACAGTGCCACCCTCCACAGTGCCACGTCCCCACATACATTGTCCCCACATCCCCACACAGTGCCACCCTCCGCAGTGCCACGTCCCCGCATACCTTGTCCCCACATCCCCACCGCGGTGCCCCCCACCCTGTCCCCACGTGCCCCCTCCTGGGCTCACCAAGGGTCCCCACTTCGGTGCCGATGGCCTCAACCACGAAGTCTGCAGGGCGTCCCACGACCCCTCCCTCGAGCCCCGGCCCCCAGGCCCGGACCTTCTGTGTCCCTGGCTGGGGGGACACCTGCACCTCGAACGGGCTGGGGGGGGACAGGTTGGTGTGAGGGGGGGATTGTGACACACCTGCACGCCCCCCACCCCTCACACATCTGCACCTTGAACAGGCTGAGGAGGATGGGGTGGGGGTGGGAATTGTATCCCCGCCACCTCCCACATCCTCCCAAACACTCCACCCCCAGGGGGACATCTGCATCTTGAAAGGGTTTCAAGGTGAAGGGGCAGTGAGGGGTGCCCCCTGACTCTCCTTCCCCCCGCCAGGGTGCCCCCTGTGCGTGTCACTGACCTGCGGGGGATGGCGTAGCCCCCCCAGGTGATGGACACCTGGTAGGTGCCGGGGACCCGGGGCAGGTACTCGCACTCGTAGACGCCGTCGCCCACGTCCCGCACTGTCACCGGCTCCTCCGTGCCCCCTGCGGGAGGGAGGGGTCACATAGGGCACCCACAATCCCCCCAGAAACACCCCCCAGCCACGGGTACATCCCCAGGGCATCCTCCAACCATTGCACCTCCCCATGGTGCACCCCCCCTACCACGCATGGCCAACCCTGTGGTGTCCCCCAGCCATCCAACTCCCACAGACAACCCCATGGGACCCCTACCCACGCACCCACCCACCCCCCGACACCCCATGGTGCCCCCCAATGCCAGACCCCCCACGGGACCTGCACCCACGTCCCTCCCTCCATGGGGACCCCACACTGATGCACCCACACCACGGGGCATCCTGGTGGGACCCCCCGTTCGTGGACTCCCTTTGGCCAAGCCTGTGGTGCCCTCCAACCACCCGACCCCCCCGTGCCCCCTGCAGTGACACATACCTGGCCCCCGCAGTGTCACCCGCAGGTCCCCGCTGCCCGCACCCCGTGTCATCACCTTGAAGTCGGCCACCTCCTGCACCCGGATCCCCCGTGGCTGCAGCCCCCGGCCCGCGGCCCGCACCGCTGAGGGGGTGCAGGCTGGAGACCCCCGTTAGCACCCACCAGCACCCACCGGGCACCGGGAAACACCCTGGGGACAACCCCAGGGACAAGGAGGGGCAGGGGGTCCCCAGGACTGGAAGATACCCATGGGAACACCCTGGAGACACCCCAGGGAGGGGCAGGGGGGTCCTCAGATTGTGAGAAGCTCGTGGGAACACGCTGGGGACACTCTGGGGACAGTGGGGTTCCATGAGGTCCCCAGGGCTGGAAGGTGCCTGTAGGGACACCCTGAAGACACCCCACGGACAGGGAGGTGCCATGGGATCCCCAGGGACACAAGGAACCCCTGAGGATACCCTGGGATTGATGGGTGCCACAGGGATACCCCTGGGGACACCAGAGGGCCATCCTGGGGGGGTTGAGGGGGCCACAGGGCCACCCTGGGGCCATGGGCAACCACAGGGGTGTCGTGGGGCCACTGTGGTCACTGACAGGTATTGAGGGCCACCACAGTCAGCACCGTGTGCCATGGGGCCACTGTGGTCACCAACAGCTGCCTTGGAGACACAACAGTCACCAGTGGGTGCTGTGGGGCTACTGATGGGTGAGATGGGGCCACTCTGGTCACCAGTGGGTGCCGTGGGGCCATGTGGGGACCCGGCGGGTGGGGGGTCTCACCTTCAGCCACGTTGACGGTGAAGGGGCTCTTGGGGACCTGGGTGCCAGCGTAGGTGACACAGATGGTGTGTGGCCCCTCGAGGACAGGCCGGTAGGTGCAGCGGAACACGTTGTCCCCTTTGTCCTCCAGCATCACCTCCACTGTGTCCCGCCGGCCCTGGGGGTCCGTGATCACCACCCCCACGTCGCCCGAGCCGGCCCCTGCCACCAGGATTACACGGGCTCAGTGCCACGGCCAGGCCACCACGGGGAGCCACCAGGCCATGAGGACGTGTACCCGGTCATCCAGCCATGCCGTGACCCTGTCACCACGAGGACACATCCCCAGAGCCACGAGACGCCCCGTGGTCATTGTCACCGTGAGAACGTGGCCTCAGGGTCACCAAGTTGTGCCATGGCCAGGTCACACCAGCACGAGGACATGTCCCCAGAGCCCCCCCGGCCCCCCCATTCCCCCACCTGCAGTGTAGATGTCAAAGTAGGTGGTCTTGTTGGCCACGTTGCCCACGGGCTCCAGGCCGGGGCCACGCGCTGTCACCTTGGTGGCGTCACCCAGGGCCATGGCCACGCCCACCCCGAAGGGGCTGCCGTCGATGTTCTGTCCCGCGAACAGCACCGTCACCTGGGGGGCACAGAGGGTCGGGGGGCGTCACGGGGGATGCTGGGGGGCGTTGCAGGGCGGGTGGCGAGGGGCTGTCCCAGAGGGGGTCACCACAGGGCTCACCTTGTGCAGCCCCGCGACCTTGGGGACGTAGGTGACGCTGTACGTTCGCTTCTTGTCATTGTTGGGGACCACCTTGGCCTGTGGGGGGGAGGGAGAGACCCCAAAACCGGGGATAGGGGGTGACACAGAGCTAGGGCACTGGAGGGGACCCCCAGAGAGGGCTGCTGGGGGGATCCCCCCAGAGGGGGTGCCGGGGCCCCCTGTACCTCCTCGGTGTGTCCCTCGGGGTCCTCAACATAGACCAGGACCTCGCCCACCCCTGCCTCCAGGGTCTCCACCGTGAACTGGGCCGGGCGCAGCACCACATTTCCCTGTGGCTCGATGCCTGCAGGGGGAGGGGGTCAGGGGGGTTCCAGGATCCCAGAACCCCCCAGGTACTCCCAGCACCCCAGAACCTCCCAGCATGCCACCAACCCCCAGCATCCCACAGGACTTGGGTCATGGGGGATCCTTGGGAAACCCTGGGATCTTCCTGGGTCAGTGGTGGCGGCCCTGGGGTGTCCCCAGGGTGTCTCTGGGCACAGGTGACACCCCCAGGGTTGGAGAGGGCTCCCTGGGCTTTGGGGGGCCCGTGGGTCACCCTCATGTGCTGACAGCCCATAGCCCCTGAAGACCCCTCTAGTGCTGGGTTCCTGAGCCCCTCCACATCCCCCACCCAGTAACCCCTCCATGTCCCTCCCGTGCCGTGTTCCCTGTGTGTCCCTGCGCTCCCCCATATCCCCCTGTGTGGGGTCCTTGAGCCCCCCCATGCCCCACTGCCCACCCGTGCCAGGTCTGCAGCCTCCTGGTGACTCCCAACCCCCTACATCCCCCTTTGCCCCCTCCCTCCTGGCACCACAGCCCCCCCTGAGCCCGCAGCCCCCCCGTACCAGGCCCGTAGGCGCGGGCACGGCCAGGCTGGGGGGGCCGGGGGCGCAGGGGGGCCCCCGGTTTGAGCTTGGCCTTGGGGAACTGGGACAGGTACGTCATCACCGAGTGCTCGTCCACATCGGGGTCCACGATCTCCTCGGGGGCGATCACCTGCAGGGGGGACCCCGACACCTGTCAGACCCTCCTGGGACCGACCCCTGCCACCAACCATACCCTCCCAGCCCTGCTGGGAACCACCCCCATCCCACACACACACACACCTCCCAACCCCACAGGTGCCCAGGGGTACCCCATATGCCCAGGAATGCTGTGGATCCCCCCGAAACACCCTGCACCGTCTTTGTGCCCCCCTCCCGAGCCCCACACCCGGGGAACGCCCGGTGCCCCCCGTGTCCCGTACCTGGGGGACCCCCAGCCAGTCGTCCGCCTGCTGCATGGCCTCCCGGGCGTTCTGCACCGGCTCGTTGGGATCCCACTTCTCCCAGTCCGGGCACAGGCCTGAGGGGAAGGAGGGTCAGCAAGGCACCCCTGTCCCTCCCCCCCCCATCCCACACCCCTTTCTTGTTGCATCCAGTGACTCCCAACGTGTCCACCAGGGCCCCCTGAGCCAGCGTGGACTGGGGGGCTCTTACCCCTCCATGCCCTCTGTACCCCACTTCAGCTGCAGGAGGGGGAAGTTGCCCCTGTCCCACCCCCTGCCCCCCCTACGCCCCACAGTTGTCCCCCCCATACTCCCACCACGCCCATCACGGCCCCAGCTCCCCCCAGCCCCGCCTCCTCACCAGGGGCACAGTTGTCCACCAGCGCTCCCAGAGCTTTCCCGTCGCGCCAGTCGCGATTGAAGTTGGTGATGGGCAGCTGCGGCACCTTGTTCTGGATCCAGCCCAGCAGCCGCTGCTTGGGGGTCTGGCGGCGCCCTTCGTCCCCCTCCTCCTCCTCCTCCCACATCGGCATGGAGATGGAGTAGTGCAGGATGAGGGTCCAGATCAGCCCCAGGATCAGTTTCAGGTTCCCGTCCACGATGGCTTTGCTGTCTGCAGGGGGGGAAACGGCGGGGCTGTACCCGAGGTCCCGCGGGACTCCCCCCAGGGCACCCAGATACCCCACAGCACCCCTCGGGACACGCCAACATCCTGCGGGACCCCCCGGGGGGATCCCTGCATCCCGACCCCCTCCCCAGGATCAGCTTCAGGGTCCCGTCCACAATCCCCTGGCTGCCTGTTGTGGGGGAAATGGGGGACTGCACCCCGACACCCCGTGAGACTTCTCCCCCCCGGGGGGGCACCTCAAAACCCCACAGCACTGCCACGGGGACCCCTGACAACCCAACACCCCACGGCACTGCTGGGGGCCCTGCACCCCAACACCCGCCTGGGGACACCCCAGGACATGGGCGGGGGGGCTGAACCCCAACACCCGCCTGGGGACACCCCAGGGCACAGCAAGGGTCCCTATTACAGGCCTGGGGACACCCCAACTCCTCACGGCACTGCCTGCCGCCCACCCCAAGCACCCGACAACCTGCATGGGGACCCCAACAGCCCACCCGGCAGTGCCTGGTGGGGGCACAACCCTGGCAGCACCCGGAGGGGTCCCCGAGCAGCCGGGGGGGGGGTCCCTGACCCTCAGAGCACCCGGGGGTTCCACTGAACCCCCGCGGCACCCTGGGGTGACCCCCTCCTCCCCCGCACCCTGTGGGTCCCCCCACCAGCACCCCGGGGGAATCCCTGACCCATGGAGTGCCGGGATAGGGAAACTGAGGCAGGGGGCGTCTGGAGAGGAAGGGGGGCCCCCAGACATCCCGGCGCCTCCCCCACCGCCCTGCAGGGCGGAACCTCCCTCGTCCCCTTCCCTCCCCCCCCCCACGAGCGATCGCCTTTCGGGGAGGAAATGGGCTGCAGATGTGGGGGCGGGGTGGGACACCCACCCCACCAGCACCCCTCGCTGGCGGCCTCCAGGAGGGGAACACCTGGGGGGGACCCCAAAACCTGGGGTCTCATGTGAGGGGGGGTTCACGTGAGGGGGCAAAGCCACGCGTGGAGAGGGGGAGGTGACAGTGTGTGTGGGGGGGAGGAGGGTTCCTCACCCCCCGGGTCGGGCTGTGCAAAGGTGAGGTTTGTGCGGGGGGGGGGCTGGCTGCAAACCCCCCGTGGCCGCGCGGGGGGGGCGTCACCCTGCAGCTGTCGGGTGGGGGTGGGCGCTGGGGCCCTGCGAGGGGGGAGCGAGTGTGCGAGGGGCCGGGGTGGCCCCTCCGCGTGAGCTCAGCGTGCACCGCCCGAGCCAAGTGTGAGCTCAGCACCCACCCCCCGCACAGCCCCTCGCGCGAGGGCCGGATCCCCCCCCACGGCCGGCCCCGCACGGCCCCTCACGCGGGTTCAGGCCCACGGACTGCACGGAGCCCTTGCACGCTCACCCCTTGCACACTCATCCCCCACGCCACCTGTCCATCGCCCCCCGCCTTGCGCACTCAGCCCCGTTCCCACCACTCCCCTGCCCTGGCACACTCGTCCCGTCCCTGCTCCTCTGTCACCCCTCCCCTCGCACACTCATCCCCCACTCTCATCTGCCTATCGGCCCCACTCTTGCAAATTCATCCTCCATTCCCACTCCTCTGTCACCCTTGCACACTCACCCCCATTTCCATTCACCCATCACCCCCACTCTTGCACGCTCCTCCGTGGGCCCCATCCTCACTTGCCCATCCCTTCCCTTGCACACTCATCCCTCATTCCCACTTTTCCACCCCCCAATCCTTGCACTCTCATTTTAGTCACACTCATCCATCACCTCCCCTCACACACTCATCCCAACCCAATCTTGCACACTCATCCCCATCCTCACTTGTCCCTTACCCTGCCTTTGCACGCTCACCCTCCATTCCCATCCCTCCACCACGCCCACCCTTGCACACTCATTCCCCATTCTCATTTGCCCGTTGGCCTTGTCCTTTGCACACTCACCCCCAGCCCCATCCCCACCGCCCCATCTCCCCTGCCCTTGCACACTCACCCCATTCCCGCTCCTCCCACCCCCCGGCACCCTCTCCTCTGCCCCCCTCGCTCGCCCCTGGCACACCCACCGATGGACACGAGTTTGATGTGCTCCCGCTCCAGGAACTCCAGGGCCACCGAGACGTTCTCCAGCTTCATCTGGCGGAAGTTGGGGCGCGGGTGGTGCTTTCGCCCCATCTTCTTCTGGCTGAGCACCTCGAGCAGGGCGATGAGGCGCAGCCCGTCGCTCAGGTCACGCTGCAGGTCCCCGATGCGCTTCTGCACGCACTTGAGGTGCTCGTTGCACCAGCGTGTGAACGTGTTCTGCTGGATCTTCTTCCAGGGCGCGTCCTCCGCGAGGTCCTTCTCGGTGGCCGGGAGCTCCTCGGGGTCCTCGCCTGGCGCTGAGTCGAACGAGTTCATCCTGGTGGGGCTGTGGGGTGTCCTCGTTGGGTGGGGGGCTTCCTGGCTGGTGGTGGGGAGGTTCCTGAGTGGGTGTGTAAGGGAGTCTTGGGTCACTCCCGGTGGCTGGGTTGGGGTCCTTGTGTGGGGTCCCAGGTCACTCCTGATGCCTGGGCGGGGGTCCCAAGTCAATCCCGGTGCCCAGATGGGGGTTCTGGGTCAGTCCCAGTATCCTGAAGGGGTCCTGGTACCCTGGGCGGGGGTCCCAAATCAGTGTTGGTGTCCTGGGAAAACGTGGATGTCCAGGGTGGGGGTCCTGGTTCCCGGTGGCAAAGCCGGTGCTGGGGGACGATGTCCTGGCTCAGAGCCGGTGTCCCTGGTGGGGGTCCCTGGTGGGTGCCGGCGCCTGCAGTGGGGTCCTGGTGCTGGAGGACGGTGTCCTGGGTCAGTCCCGGTGTCCTGGATCACGCGTGGGTGTCAGTGTCCTGGGTGGGGTCCCAGTTCCCGACGCTGGGGGACCGTGTCCTCGGTCAGTCCCAGTGCTCAGGGGGTGCTCCTGGATCCCGGGGTCAGTGCGGGCGCCTGGGGACGGGGTCTCGGCTCAGTCCCGGTGTCCTGCGAGGGGGTCGCGGCTCGATGCCGGTGTCCCCAGCGGGGGTCCCGATTCCCAGAGTCGGTCCCGGTGCCAGAGGCAGCTGTCCTGGGTCTGTCCCGGTGCAAGTTACCGGCGGCGGGGTCGGTTCTCGGCTCCCAGAGGGAAGCAGCGGGTCCCTAAGGGGTTGGGAGGGGGCGGGGGGGTCCGGTGGGTTCTCGGTGGATTCCCCGAGGGAGCGGCGGGTCCCGGAGGGTGGGGAGTCCACTTGGTTCCCGGGAGTCGGTTCCTGATGAGTTCCCGGAGCGGAGCAGCGGATCCCGGCGGGGTCCGGTGGGTTCTGGGGCCAGTTCCCGGTGGGTTCCCGGTGGGTTCCCGGTGTGTTCCCGAGGCAAAGCAGCGGTTCCCGGTGAATTCCCGGTGCCGATTGGAGGCGAGGTCCGGTGCGTTCCCGATGCGTTCCCGGAGGGTTCTCGAGCCGGGGGCGGCGGCGGAGAGTGGCGGGGCCGGGGGCGGCGGCGGCTTTAAGCGCTGCCCCGTCCCGTCCCGCCCCGTCCCGGGGAGGGACCGACCGACCGGGAGGGACCGACCGACCGACCGGCCGGGGGGTGGGGGGGCTCGGGCGCCGCTATTTATAGCCCCGACCTCACACCCGGACCCCCAGACACCGGCACCCCTAAAACCCCCGGACTTCGGCACCCCTAAAGCGCCGGACCCCCGCACTCGGACACCTCCAAAAACCCCGGACTCCAGCGCCTCCCAAACCTCGGGCCCCCAGACTTAGGCACTCCCGGGCCCCGGCACCCACAAATCCCGGCACCCCTGACACCCCCAAACGCCGGCACTTCTGAAACACCGACAAGCCCCTAAACCCCTGGCACACCCAAAATCTCAATAACCCTAAACACAGGCAACCAGAAACCCCGACACCCTCAAGCACTGGCACTTCTGAAACGCCCACACTCCCAAAGCCTCAGACACCCTGAAACACCAAAATCTCAGGAACCCCAAACACCCACATCCCAAATACCGACACCCCAAATACCGACACCCACAACCCCCAGACCCTGGCAGCCCCAAACACTGACTTCCTCAAACACTGACACCCTCAAACACAGGCACCTCCAAAATCCTCCAAACCCCAAAAGCCGCAAACCCTGGCACCCCTAAAACCCCGAACACAGCCACCCCAAAATCCCGGCACCCCCAAACTCCAAAACCCGAGCACCCCCCAAAATCCCAAACCCTGAAACCCCAACACCACAAAACTGCCACACTCCATAGGCCAGGAACCCCAACACCCCATTATCCTGACACACCTGGACCTTAAGACCCCAACACCCCAGCATCCCAAAATCCCAGCACCCCGGGAACCCTGACAGATACTGGCACGTCTATACCTTTGCCAGCTGGCCACCCCAATACCCCTGCACCCCAATACCCCAGTACCTCGACACCCTGACACCCCAGGCACCCCAACACCGCAGCCCCCTGTCAGCACAACTCACCCCAAAGATACCCCTAAAACTCACCCCCTCGAGAGCCCCCCCAGAAGACCCATCCAAGACCCCTCACTCGGGACCCCCCCGAGTCAGCAGCCCCCTCTTGGGACCCCCCAAAAACTCACATAAAAACCCTCACCCCAGCCCCAGGAGCACAAGTGAGATCCCCACGACCCCCTCTAGGATTCCCCTATGGGGAAACCCACCAGGACCCCCCCCAGAACTCCCCCTTGGGGCCCCTGGGCTACCCTGGCTGTGCCTCAGTTTCCCCATCACAGGGCATGTCTGGGGAGGGGGGCTCACTCATTTTTGGGGTGACCCCTGAACCCCACTGCCCCCCGAATTTCTCGTGTGTTTGTGTGTGTCCCTGGACGCCTCGGCACCCTTGGGGGGAGCGGGGGGGACACTTGGGTGACCCAGATCTTGGTCCTTTTAGGGGGGGTGATTCGGGGGGTATCGTGTTCCCCCCAGTTCCGGTGCCTGTCCTCGAAGCTTCCAGCGTGGGTAGTGGGGGGAGGTGCACCCTGAGGTGACAAAGGGTGACAGGGGGTGACGGGGGGGTGACGTGTTGGGGGTGACGCGGTGGCGCCTGCGCCAGCACCTAAAAATAACCCGCCGAGTCAGAGCCACGCACCGGCACCCAAAATACCCCGGGGGGGGGGGGCACGCGGTGGGGGGGCACCTCAACACACCCACACCAAAAATACCCCGTGGGTGTCTGGGTGGGCACGTGATGGGGGTGTGGAGGAACACACAGGGATGGCCCCCACCCCTCCGGGATCCCCGAACCCACGGCAGGTGTAGGAGAGTGAGCAGGTGGATTGTATGGGCAGTTTGGGGTGGTCTGCGTGGTCAGGGTGGTCCGGGAAGTGGGGTCAGGATGCTTGGGGAGGTTCGGGGTGTCAGTGTGCTCCAGGAGGATCGGGGTGCTCCAGGATGGGGGTTCAGAGGGGCCGGGGGGGTGGATCAGAGTGCTTTGTGGGGGCTTCTGGTGCCCGCTGTGGTCTGGGCTCCGCTGCAGCCGGGGCAGAGGGAGATGATGGTGAAGGGAAGGGCCTGACCCCAGCAGTGTCTCCTGGGGAGGGGACAGGGAGCAGGCCCATCCCCCTGAATCCTGTGTGTCCCCCCACCCTGTCCCTGGCTCTGGGTCCCCTCTGGGCTCTGGGGCTTGGGGTACTCGGGGTCCTTGGGATGGGGGGATACGGGAAGGGAACTGTCAGCAGCACGGGGGCACAGACGGAGTGAGAGTGGGGACGTGGCCATGGGGACAAGGGGGCAGGGCTGGGGGGCAAAGGGACAGGGGAACATGGCGTTCATGGATGGGGGACAGTGGGGACACATGTGGGGCCACATGCAGGAGGGCACAAGGACAGGGACATGGAGGCCCTGGGGTGGTCCCTTGGGTGCCATGGGGCTGTAGACAGGGGGCTGTGTGGTACAGGATCCATCCTGGCTCCAGTGGGTGCTGTGGGGTCTCAACTGGGCCAGTGGTGCTGCAGCCCCCAGAGCTCCACACTCAGCACCTCCTGCTGTGCCCACAGCACCCTGAGAACCTTCCCCACTCCATGGCCACCATACCAGACTCACAGAATCCAAGAATACCTGAGGTTGGAAAAGCTCTCCTAGCCCATGGAGCCCACCCTGTGCCCCAGGGACACATCGGGCACACATTGGGGGTGTGTGGGGTGCCCATCCCTGGGGTGCCCGTCTGGGGGGGTGCCCGTCCCTGTGGGATTCCAGTACAGCACCAGCAGAGCTGACCTGATCCAGTACAGTCCAGCACAGCCTACCACGACCCAGTTCAGCCCAGTACAAACCAGTACAATCCCATGTGACACGATACGGTTCAGTACAGCCCAGTACAACCCAGGAGGATACAGTACAGCCCAGTGCAGCCCAGTACAGCCCAGTGCAGCCCAGTACAGTACAGTACAGCCCAGTACAACCCAGGAGGATACAGTACAGCCCAGTGCAGCCCAGTACAGCCCAGTGCAGCCCAGTACAGTACAGTACAGCCCAGTACAACCCAGGAGGATACAGTACAGCCCAGTGCAGCCCAGTGTAGCCCAGTACAGTACAGTACAGCCCAGCATAGTTCAGTACAGCCCAGTATAACCCAGTAGGATACAGTACAGTACAACCCAGTATGTTATACATTACAGACTGGTACAGCCCAGTACAGCCCAGTGCAACCCAGGAGGATGCAATACAGCCCAGCATGATCCAGTACGACCCAGTACAGCCCAGTACAACACAGGCTGGAGGTACAGCCCAAACAGTCCCCCTGTCCCTGCCCCGTCCCCTCCCTGGTTCCCCCCTGCCCCATCCCAGCCCCAGAGCTGGACACAACCCCAGGGGTGCCCCAGGGCAGGGTACCCCCCGGGTGGGCACCCCCCATTCCCCACACAGCCCCTCCACCCGACCCCCCCTTCCCTCTGTGGGGGTCCCGGGGTGCCACAGCCCTGTCTCTGCAGTGGCTTTTATAGGCACCCCCAGCCCGGGGGGGGCCCCAGCGCCCATAATCTCCCCCATAAGCAGCTTCTGCTCATCCTTCCTGACCCCTGGGGGTCCCACGGGTGGGGGGGGACAGGAAGAAGCTGGGTGTCATCTGGGATTTGAGTTCCCAGCAGAGCACCCCCAAAGTGACTCCCCCATCCAGGTACCCCCCGGCTTTTCACCCTCCTGGGTTAATATCCCCCCTCAGTTAACTCCACAAGCAGTGCCCCCACCCCTTAACCCCTCCCAGCTCTCCCCACCTCACAGGGGGACAATCACTGGCAGGTGACACCGGCAGGGGGGGGACATCCTGGGGTGCTGGGGAGGGCAGGGGGTGACCTCATGGGGAGGACCCCAAGCTATTCCCAGGGCAACCAGGGCCAGGCCATCCCAGGGGAGCAGGATCAAGGGCGAGAACCCCCAGGGATACCTGAGGGACACCTGGACATCCCAGGGGGAGCAGGACTGAGCTTGAGGACTGCTGGGGACCCTGGTGGGAGCAGGACTAAGGCTGGGGACTCCTGGCCATCCTTGGGGCACCAGGACCAAGCCTGGGGGCACCTGAGGACACCTGGGCAAGCTGGGGGGGAGCAAGATTGATCCCTGGGCATCCCTGGGGACCCTCCCCACTCCCAGGTGTGTGAAGGGAGCCCTTCCACCCCCCCCCAAATCCCCCCAGAGCCCCGGCAATCGGCTCGGCCCGGCTCAGGGGGCCGATTAGGCGCTGAGCCCGGCTTAGCCCCCCTTCTAATCCCCAAGTTTGGCCGAGCTGAGCCCTGATCCCCCCTAAGCGGCTTTGGGGGCGCAGGGTATATCAGGGGGGAGGTCGCTGCCCCCCCCCCACCGCCACCACCATGGATGAGGAAGACTTCTACCTGTTCAAGAACCAGTCGTCGGTGGGGCCCTGGGATGGGCCCCAGTACCACCTGGCACCCATGTGGGCCTTCTACCTGCAGACCATCTTCATGGGGGTGGTGTTCCTGGTGGGCACCCCCCTGAACGCCATCGTCCTCATCGTCACCGTCAAGTACAAGAAGCTGCGGCAGCCGCTCAACTACATCCTGGTGAACATCTCCGTCAGCGGCTTCATGTGCTGCATCTTCAGCGTCTTCACCGTCTTCGTCTCCAGCTCCCAGGGATACTTCGTCTTCGGGAAGCACATGTGTGCCTTCGAGGGCTTCGCGGGGGCCACCGGAGGTACCGGGGGGGACCACGGGGGCGCTGGGGGCTGGAGGTGATGGAGTGACCACCAGGGCTGCCGGGGCCAGAGATGACCACTATGAGGATCTCCCGTGCTGTGCAAGTTGGGGTGATCACCACGGGTTGTTGGGGTGACCATCTGCACCTGTAGCAGTTGACCACTCTTAGTCTGGTGGGCCTGTAGGAGTTGGGGTGACCTGGTGACCTGGGGGTGCCACGGGGCATGGGGTGACCCCTGGCCCCAGTGGCCGTGGGCAGGGTGCAAGGCAGTGGCCGTGTCCCCCCACCCCAGGGCTGGTGACAGGGTGGTCCTTGGCCTTCCTGGCCTTCGAGCGCTACATCGTCATCTGCAAACCCTTCGGCAACTTCCGCTTCAACTCCCGCCACGCGCTCCTGGTCGTGGCGGCCACCTGGGTCATCGGCATCGGCGTCGCCATCCCCCCCTTCTTCGGCTGGAGCAGGTGGGGCTGCTGGGCACAGGGGTTTAGGGGGGCACGGGGGGGGCCCACGGAGTGCCAGGAGGGTGGTGAGACACCCAGCAGTGCCCTGGGGTGCTGTGGGGGTGCCAGGAGGGTGGTGAGACACCCAGCAGTGCCCTGGGGTGCCACTCGGTGCTGAGCGTGGGTGCTGCAGGTACATCCCCGAGGGGCTGCAGTGCTCCTGCGGCCCTGACTGGTACACAGTGGGCACCAAGTACAAGAGCGAGTACTACACCTGGTTCCTCTTCATCTTCTGCTTCATCGTCCCCCTCTCCCTCATCATCTTCTCCTACTCCCAGCTGCTCACCGCCCTGCGGGCCGTGAGTCCTGGCGGCACGGGGGGCACTGGAGCTGGGAGAAGGGGAGGGGGGTGGAGAGGGGCTGGGAAGGGGGAGAGGGAGGAAGAAATGGAGCAGAGGGAGGGATGGAGAACTGACTGGAAGGAGCAGGGGGAGGGAAGGAGGAGGGGGAGAAGGAGGGGAGGGAGGGAGGGAGGAGAGGACAGGCTGCTTGGGCAGAAGGGTGGGCAGGAGCACAGGCGGGTGCCCAGGCAGGGGGGCAAGCAGGGGATCAGGGGGTTTGGCATGGGATCAGGGGATCGGGCAGGGGATCAAGCATGGGATCAGGGGATCAAGCATGGGATCAGGGGATCAGGCAGGGATCGGGTAGGGAATCAGGGGATGGGGCATGGGATCAGGGGGTTGGGCAGGGGATCGGGCAGGGAATCAGGGGATCAAGCATGGGATCAGGGGATCAGGCAGGGGATCGGGCAGGGAATCAGGGGATCGAACATGGGATCAGGGGGTTGGGCAGGGGATCGGGTAGGGAATCAGGGGATCGGGCAGGGGATCAGGGGGTTGAGCAGGGGATCAGGTAGGGAATCAGGGGGTTGGGCAGGGGATCAGGGGGCTGGGCAGGCCCAAGGTGTCCCTGTGCCCGTCCCAGGTGGCAGCCCAGCAGCAGGAGTCGGCCACGACACAGAAGGCGGAGCGGGAGGTGTCGCGCATGGTCGTGGTCATGGTGGGGTCCTTCTGCCTGTGCTACGTCCCCTACGCGGCGCTGGCCATGTACATGGTGAACAACCGCAACCACGGCCTCGACCTGCGCCTCGTCACCATCCCTGCCTTCTTCTCCAAGAGCGCCTGCATCTACAACCCCATCATCTACTGCTTCATGAACAAACAGGTGACACCGCGGCACAGGGGGACACGCGGGGCACCCATGGGATATAAGGGACATCCAGGGGGACACATGGTCATGCCCAGGGCCACCTGCAGGGCTGGCACGTGCCCAGGGATGAGAGATGGGGGCCAACGTGGCATTAGGGGTGGGAGGACAGTGCCAGGGCCGCACATGGGGCCAGTGGCACTCTGACTGAGCCACCCCCTGCCCGCCGTGTCCCCACAGTTCCGCGCCTGCATCCTGGAGACGGTGTGTGGCCGGCCCATGACCGACGACTCCGAGGTGTCCAGCTCGGCCCAGCGCACCGAGGTTTCCTCCGTGTCCTCGAGCCAGGTCAGCCCCAGCTGAGGGGCTGCGGCACCCACCTGGCCCCCAGGACCCCCGGCTGCCCCCCCGGACCCCCGGCTGCCCCCCAGGGCCCCCAGCTGTGGGGCCGGCGCTGCCCCAGGGGTCCGGGGTCCCCGGCCAGCCTAGGATGTAGCGCGGGTGGGACAATAAACCACGGCCGCGGTCTGAGCGCAACAGGGACCCTCTGCGGGGCCCACGGGATGGGGGACACACTGCGGGAACCCTCCTGGGACCCTCGGGATGGGGACACACTGTGGGAACCCTCCTGGGATCCTCAGGATGGGGACACACTGTGGGAACCCCTGTGGGACCCTCGGGATGGGGACACACTGTGGGAACCCCTGTGGGACCCACAGGATGGGGGACACAGCACAGGGGTGGGCAGGGTGGGGGTCCCAGGAGTGGCTGTCCAGGTGTCCCCATGTGCCCCATGGTTGGGTGGGATGGGAGTCTTAGGGGTGGCTGTGCCCCACGGCAATGCCACGGTGAGACTCTGCTCCCTTGTCCCCTGCAGGCTCCACAGGCAGTGGGGGGGGGCAGGGAAGTGGGATGCTGCCCTTCCACCTCCATCCACGGGGCTGGGCTGGGGCTGAGACCCCTATCTGTGGGGCTGGATCCCCCCATTCATGGGGCTGTGATGGGGCTGAGCCCCCATTCATGGGGCTGTGGTGGGGCTGAGCCCCCCATTCATGGGGCTGAGGAGGGGCTGGATGCCCTCCATGCAGGCTGAGGTGGGGCTGGCTCCCCCTATCTGTGGGGCTGCTATGGGGCTGGATCACCCCATGGGGCTGGGGGGGGACTGAGCCCCCTATTCATGGGGCTGGGGTGGGACTGGATCCCCTCTGTGGGGCTGAGCCCCCCCGATCTCCAGTGCTGAGGGCCAGGATTCCCCTCAGGCCCCACATCACTCCCCTCCCTGAAACCCCAAACCCGCCCCCAGACCCCTCAAGCCCTTCCCCTTCCCTGGGCTCCCCCTGCCCACAGATCTAGGGGGGTTCCCCTAGATCCCAGTTTGGGGGGACACAGGAACTGGGGTCTGGCCCCCCGGCCCGTGGGGGTTGAACAGTTTATTGAGCCCCAGCCGACCCGGATCCCTTCAATCAGCCAGAGCAGAGAACCAAATAAACCCGGAGGAGGCAAAAAATCCATGTCCGGAGTCGTCAGTGAGACTCGAATCCTCGTGGATGGGGGAAGCAGGAGAGGGACCACAGGGGCTGATGGTGCACTGGGGGGCTTTCCCGGTGTTCCCAAAATCACAGCTGCTGTCCCAGATCACCCCTGGTGTCCCAAATCACCCCCCACATTCCCAGATCCCTGAGCCCAGCACGAGGACATGTTCCCAACATGCTCGCCCCTGGATTTAGGGACGGGGAGGTGGGAGAGGAGGAGGAGGAGGAGGAGGAGGAAGAGAAGGAAGAGGAGGAGGGAGGATCCAGTCAGCACTTGGAAACCCCTGGAAAAGGATTTAAGGGAAAACCCAGGAATTTGGGGGTGACCAGGCCAATTCCACACAGCTCCAGGAGCTGCGGGCAGGGACAAATGACCCAGAAGAGGGAAAACACTGGGAATCATCCCAGAGCGGGGTGGGATGGCTGGATGAGCCCACCCAAGCTGGGGGGATTCAAGGCACTTGGAGTGGGGCCGGTGCAGGGGGGGGGGGCCCGGCCAGATCCTGGGGGGCAACGATGGGGGACGGGGGGTTCCCATGCCCCGGGGTTACCTCCCCTAGGGTCCCCTCTGGGTGCCCCCTGAAACCTCCCGGGGTCCTGCTGCTGCTCCAATGGGTTTCAGGGCTTTTTTTGGGGGTTTGAATTCTCATTCCAATTTCACATCAGTGTTTCCATTTAATTTGATTTCACTTCTCGTGTTTAAATCCCACCTCAATTTCCAATTTTCGTTTTCATGTTTCATTCCAATTTTCATTTCAATTCCAACTTTAATTCCAATTTTAATTTCCCAATTCAAATTCCAATTTTAATTCCAATTCCAGCTTCGGTTCCAATTTTAATTCCAATTTCAACCTGCGTCCCAATTCCGACTTTTATTCCACCTCCAATCCCAATCCCTCTGTGAATCCCCCACTCCCCCCATAGCCCCGGGTGGCCCCGTCACCGCCCCCACGCCGGGGGGAAGTGGGGGGAGCCATTTCCACACATGGTAAAACCAAAACATACAAAAATAACCCTAAAGTCGTTAAAATCCCAGGAAAACCCACGACAAGACGAGCCCCAAGTGCTGGGGGGGGGTGGTGTGTGGCTTTCCCGAGCCCCATCCCTTTGGAGCCGGGATGGGGTTTCCCGTGGCGGGAGCGGCCTGGGCGCGGGACGGAGCCCCTGAGCAGGTGGCGGCACAGGCCTAGAACTCGTCGTGCCGCACCAGCGCCTCCCCGAAGTCCGTGGCCTGGCTGCCCACGAACAGGTCCGACTTGTCCACGATCTCCTCCCGCGTCAGCTTCCCGTCCTGCAGGGAATGCCACATCCCGCTATATCCCCCCTGCTCCTCCTCCCAGCCCGCTCCTCCCGAAATCCCACCGGAGCGCCTGCCCACCTTGTCCTGGTCGGACTCGTAGACGAGGTGCCGGGCCTCGGCCTCGGCGTGGTCGTAGTCCGAGGGCAGGATCCAATCCTTGGTCTCCTCCTTGTCCATCTTCCCATCCCGGTTCTTGTCCCGGAATTCCACAAACTGTTCCCTCTCCGTCTTCACCCACTCGGGCTCGTCGGCGTCACCATCCTGGCTGTACATGTCACCTGTGGGGAGAGTGGGATCGGGATCCCAAGGACTGACCCGAAGCCTTGAGCTCCCTAAGTCCATCCCCAAAATCCCAAACAGGGGCCCACCATTTGGGTCAGGATTCCACCCCAAAATCCCCAACAGTGGCCCAAGGTGGAGGGCAGAAGTTGAGAAGTTGGAAGAGAGAACATTCCCAGAGGGGGAAGGATGGGAAGGATGTGCCGGCAGCGGCTGACACCGCACGGGGAAACGGAAGGGACACGGAGGGGACATGGAGCACCGTGGCTCCGGCATCTCACCGATGTACTCCTCCAGATCAATGAAGCCATCACCGTTCTTGTCAATGTCCTCCATGGTTTCCTGCACAGAGACATGAGCCAGACCTGGAGTGATACCCACCCCACCAGAGCTTCCTGGGAACACCCCCTTCCCAACACCTGCGTGCCAGCCCCACCTGCACGACGATGTCCTTCATGTAGTCGTACTCCTCGGGGTGCAGGAAGGCCGTGAACTCCTCCTTGGTGGCCGCCAGGTCCCCGTCCTTGTCGGCCATCTTGAAGCGCCGCTCGTCCCGCACCATCATCTGTTTGTAGTTGAAGCCGTCGTCGGGGTCGGGATCATCTGGGAAGGAGCAGAGGGAGAGCCCAGATCAGCTCAGGCAGGGGAGGGACCATGGTCAGCACCAACCCAAACCAACCACAACCCAACCCGAGCATAACCCAACCCAACCACCACCTCAATATCCTCACCCTCAACTCAAACTCATCGCCAGCTCAACCTCCTCAGTGGGGCCCTTCTCACCCTCAACTTCCTCAGCACAACCTCAACCTCCTCCACCCCAACCTCAACCCCCCACCTCAGCCCAACCTCCCGACGCTTCGCCACTGCAGCCTCCACCGCAGCTCCTGGCAGCCGCCACGTCTCTCCTGCGCCCATTCCCAGGAGAAGGAGGAGCTGCAGCAGCCCCGGGATTGCGGCACTCCCAGGGAGAGGCCCCAGTAGACAGGGCCCAGGAGGGTTTGGCCGGCACGGTCGGAGGCTCAGCTGGAGCTATTTCGGGAGGGGAATGTGTAAGGGGATCTCGCTCGCTGCCGGGGCAGCGGCAGAGCCGGGAGGCATCGGCCGGGTGGGATCACAGGGCCACCACCGGCAGCGGGAGAGGAGCTCTGGGACACGGAACTGGCAGTGTCCCTGTGGAGAACATGGATCCAGGAGGATGTGGCTGTGGCCACGCTCTGGGTTAGGTTAAACCAGAGCCAGGCTCCAAAAGGCTCAGTCCCTTTGTCCCTGTTCTGCTACCTGGAACAAAAGGCAAGGATTACGGAGCTCTGGATCAAGGGACTCCAGATTAAGGAGCTCTGGAGCAGCCCCAGAGCCATTAAATATCTAAAGATTTTAAGGCACCTCTAGGGTAGAATGAACCCAAAATTCCCTATTCTATTGCCAAGGTTTCACCTTGGGAAGCGGCACAGCTTCCCAAGCAAGGAAACCCTCAGGATTTGGCCCATTCCTCAACTGCTGTCAGGCCAACTGATGAGTTTGATGGAGGGCGGGGGGGCCAGGTGGGCTAAAAATGGTCAACCCCCCTCGCTCCAAGAGCCTGCAAAGCCACTCTGTGTCTTGGTCCCTGGGCAGAGGGAGGTTTGGGGGAGCAGATGGAGAAGCTTCCCCTGGAATGAACATTCCGGGTTTCAGATTCCACTCTAGGACTCATGAGTTAACAAAAATAGGATAATGATGATGATGATGATGATGATTCGGATCCCATCCCAGGACTCAGGAGTTAACAGAAATAGGATAATGATAATGATGATGATTCAGATCCCACCCCAGGACTGAGGAGTTAACAATAACGGGATGATGATGATAATATGATGATTATTATTCTATTTTGATTTTGAAGGGAGTTTCGAAGGGATTTTCACTCTAAGATGAAGCTCTTGGATATTTACCACTTGGTATTCCCTGCTTCCTGGGATTCCCCCAGTGGAGCCCCCCACACTGCTCAGTGACACCTCTGGGGGCCACCTGGTGACTCATTCTCGTCTTTAATTAACTAATTAATAAAACCATCCACAGCACCTGGGGGGGTTTTGCTGACAAAACACTGCATTCCTGACCCTTTGGAGCAGCCCAGGGCAGTACTGCCTGCCAACGCTCCGGAGGCACTTCCCAGGCATTCCAGCCCTGCTCTGGCCAGGGAGGGGAGCGAGGGGAAGGGAGGGAATCTTCCAGCAGCAAGGAACCGGGGAAAAGCGATTCCTGCCGAGAGGAGCCGGAGCCAGGGCGTGAGGCGGGACCCTCCCGGCGCTCCGTAAGGACACAACTATGTGGGAGCAGCACGAGCTGAGGCTCCATCGGGGCCTGCCAAGGACACTCAGCCTCCAGCACCGCTCCGGGTTCGGGATTGGCCATACTGGGGCTGGGCACTGCCCTCTCGCTGCTCTGGCTGTGGGAAGGGGCTTCTCCTTAAGCTCATTAAGAGGGTTTCACTAATTCCAGGGTTTCTCATTAAGGTTTTTCTTTTATTAAGTTTCCCCTCCTTAAGTTTTCCCTCCTTAAGGTTTTCCTCATTAAGGTTTATATTTTTCCCTGTCCCACGCCCACAGGTCTTAAATCCCACCCCAGACCCCTCAAACCCCTCACGTAAAAAAGGGTGTTCCAACCCTTCCCAGGATCTCTCCTTCCCCTTCCAGGCTGGATTTACATGGGCAGATAAGCACAGATCCCAGAAATCCATGGCAAAGGGAGGCTTGGGAAGCGCTGCCCCAGCCCGGGAAGGGGTGGGGGATTTTTCCCCAGCCACCAGCACGGTAAACCCAGATCCTCCCCGAGCCCGAGGGACACGGATGAGCCCGAGGGAGATGGATGAGCCTCCCGTGTGGCAGCTCCCCCTCCGCACATCCCACGGAGCAGTTTGACTATTTTTGGCAATATTTAGGAAATTTGAGCGGGGTTTCACGCTCTGGAGCCGCGGCTCCTCCGCCCGGCCCCGTCTGCGGTGCGGGAGGCAGGAGCTGGCACAGGGAGCGGGTGTTTTAAGGTTTTAACCCCAAAACAGCTGCTCCTTCCTGTGCTCCTGGGGGTGTCTGAGGCTCGTGTTCTAAAATCCCCAAGTTCCAGAGTCTAACACTGCTCCTGGGACAAGGGAAAGGGTTCTGCTGATGGTTTTTGTGGATTAGGGGTGGGATGGACACACTAAGGTGGTTTCAGAGCCACAGGTCAGTTGGTTTTGCCTGCAGGTTCCAAATGTCCCCATGAGCCAGGAATTCCAAAGGATCAAAAACCTCCATTCTTGCATGCTGTTAATCCCTAAATCAGTGGGATTCAGCCCAGAGCTGTGTTTGTCCCCAGAGACATCAATAACACAAGGCTGGGGCTCTGTGGGGGCACAAACATCCCCTTGTAGGGGGAGGTTCACATATTTTGGGTTCTTTTCCTTGGATTTCCCTTCAGTAATGCCACCAGAAGGTCAATTTGGGGAGTCTGGGGGATTTTTAAGCGAGACTTTGGGGCCACCTGCCCAGGCTGGCACATCCCTGGGTTCATTCCAGGGGACAAATCCAGCTTGGGCCAAGTCAAATTCCCACCGCTGCTGCTCCTCCACGCTCCCAATCATGGAGTTCTTCTGGGCCTCCTTAATCCAGGCTCCAAGCTCCCTCTCTGCCACAACCCCATCCTGATCCATGTCCCTCCCTCTGACCCTCACCCCACAACCCCCTCCCGATCCATGAACATCCCACTGACCCTCGTGAACAGCTCGTCCCAACTGCTGGCTCCAGGAAAGGCTCATCCCGAGCACCACCAGGACCTACCCAGGATGTATCCATAGGTGGCATTTTTATACTCCTCCCAGGAGACCAGCCCATCCTCGTTGAGGTCGTGGCCCTTCCACTGCCGCTCCACATCCTCGTAAATCCAGCGCTTCTGGGCAAACTTGATCCAGGCCTTGAGCTCCTCCACCGTCACGAACCCGTCGCCATCCTCGTCTATTTTCCCTACAATCTTCCTGTGGGAAACATGGAGAAATCCAGCTAAATGTTAAAGAAAACAAGAGGCTACAGGGGAGGGAATGGGAAGGGGAAGAGGGAGCAAGTAGAATTTGGGAATTCAACTATTTGGAGAGTTTATCCCTAAAACCAGCTGCCAAAACCCCAGCTCAGCCACTATTGGGCCACTCAGGTTTTGGTTTGTTCAGGAATTAAAGGTTTTTGGGGAAAAACTTCCTTATCAGACCTTTGGGAAAGACCCATCCGTGTGTCCTTCCCACTGAGATGGCACCGGATGGGGAGCACGGACATGGCTTTCTACTAAAAACGGGAATCTCGGCTCCGCCTCTCCTGGTGGCGTGAGGAACAAGGCAAGGTGGTTACGGAACATGGGAATTCTACTATTTGGAAAGTTCATCCTTCAAATCAACGTTTGGTTTAGCTGGTGAAACACCAGCTCAGACACGGAAAACACCGGCTCCGACACGGAAATCACCGCTCGGGCTTTGGTTTCTTCAGGAATTACGAATTTCAGCAGAAAAGCTTCTTTGTTAAAGCCCCATCCGTGCGTCCTCCCACCTCGATGGTGCCGGGTGAGGAGCACAGGCACACGTTTTTCCCTAGAACTGGGAAGTTGGGCCGGTCCCACCCGCTGCCCGGGGCAGCAACCGGAGCAGCCGCGTGCCTCCGTTATTTTTAGCAGCAGCTGTAGGAGAAGCCACGGCAGGAATGCGGGATCCAGGGGCAGATGGGAGCTGGGGGGATGGTGGGGGCTGTTGGATCCGTGGGGTTTGCTCCAGCTCCACGCCGGGACGGTTTTGAGCTCCCCCCCCCCGGATGAAAATCAGGGATAAATCAGTCCCAAAAAATCGTTTGTCTGGTGAAGCAAGATCCTGGTTTTTCTCCTTTGACAGGGAGGTTTAATGGAAAGCCATTCAGGAATCCTGAGCTCAACCGAGGTATTTGAGGAATTTTAAAAGACAGGTGGAAAATAACGGCATTTTTAAATCACCAGCAGGACAATTAATTCCCAAAATACTGAGGCAAAGGGAAACCTGGACACTGGAGCCACCTGCACTTGCTCCCAGGTTTTTGTGTTCCAGAATTGCCTTGATCAAGGAAAACCAAGAATTCTTCCATGGCACAATGGGAAGCTGGAGAGAGAACTGTGAGAAAACCGGGGGAAACACAGGATTTGACTCTGGCAGAGTCTCGGCATGGGGGCAGCATGGGGTGCCCTGCCTGGGAGACCTGAGGGGTTTTACAGAGCAACATGTAACATAAATATGTAAATGTGCAACCAGAGCTCCTCAACAGAGCCCAAACTTACAGGGAAATCAGGTAAAATACTACAGAAATATTTCAGAATTTTCCATCTCCACGTGCAAAGTGTCTCCTCCAATATTCCTGATTGAACTTCGCAGGAAATCATGAAAAATGTCACAGAAACATTCAGAGCTTTCCACATAAATATATTAAAAAAAAGATCAATAATATCACATGAATATTAAACATTGGCCATTATAAATATATAAGCCACAAATAAATCAGAGGTTTCAGGGAAACAATTCCACGTTTCCCTTTCCCAGGTGGGAAAATGGCCAAAGCAGCTTTTTCAGGGCAGTTTGCAGGGGGTTAATTAGAGAACAGCTTCCCAGGAAAGTCAAACAGCTTCCCTCTCCAGCCTGGAGCTGGGCACTCAGGAAGCTCCCAAACCTCCTCCCCCCAGCTGGTCCCGAGCCCAGGGCCAGCACCAGCTGCTCCCGGCTGCTTTCCCAGGGCAGGAGCCACCGAATCCGAACATTTTCCCAAACCCCCCCACTCTGTCCCCCTGCAAGAGCGGGGACAGCAGATGTTTGGGAAGGGCTGGCAGCTGCTCCTCGTTCCCACTCCCTGATGCAAGGGGATCTGGGTGCCCAGTGCTGCTGCCAGGGAATGTTGCTCGGACAAAACAAGGTAGAGCACAGTGGGACCTCGTTCCCAAATCCCTGACTGACAGAGCACAGGACATTGTTCCCAAATCCCTGACTGCCCAAAAAGCAGAGCTGCATGCAAAGATCTGGTCAAGCCCGAGGCGGAGCTCTCCTAGGAAAATGGGCCCTTCCCACAGCACAACTCCCGTTAAAGCGCAGAATTTATGGAATCAGACCTGGGTAACAAGTTTATCAAAGCAATTCCAGCTGGGGAAAGTGGGAATTGGCCCTCTGTGGATAAAAGGGAGGCTGGTTTGTTGTGTGGAGGGCGTTGAATCTCTGATGGAAACTCTGCCCGGGCGGCACTACCGGCGTTCCGGCAGATAACTCAGCAGAACAATGGGATTGAGCCGTGACGGAGCCCTTGGATCGGGAACGTGGCGGGGGAGGGAGGCCAGGGGGGCCCTGCCTGCTGCAGCCGGAGCTGCAGTTCCCTTGGAATCTGCCACTGCTCCAGGAGGATTGAGGGGTTTGCTCTGATTTCCCAGGCAAAAAAGCCTCCTGGATCCTGTATTTTGGACGTTGCAGAACAACCGGGGCCTGGCTCCAAGGGATCCAGGGGTTTTCCAGATTAAACAGTCCCTAAGCGGGGAAAATTCCCCTCTGGCCTCCAAGAGTGAAGTGCTGAGGGCGAGGCCAGCAGCTCCCTCCTACCCTGAGCCTGGATGATCCATAGGGATGAATGGAGAGTCCATGGAAAAGCCTGGCAGCCCCCGCCCCGCACATCCCACTGTATCCGTGAGGTTTGGTTCGCTCCGGGGGTTCCCTCACCACCCACACGTGGCTGAGCTTTTCCTTCCCATCAGGGAGCCCCATTCCCAAAAATCTCCCAAAATTCACCACGGGCTGCAGCGGGTGCTGCTCCAGCAGCAGCACAGTCGGGATGCTCAGCTGCCAAAAGGGGAGGTTTAGGTGGGATATTGGGAAGGAATTGCTGGCTGGGAGGGTGGGCAGGCCCTGGCCCAGGTTGGCCAGAGAAGCTGTGGCTGCCCCTGGATCCCTGGGAGTGTCCAAGGCCAGGTTGGACGGGGTTTGGAGCAACCTGGGATAGTGGGAGGTGTCCCTGCCCATGGCAGGGGTGGCACTGGATGGGCTTTAATGCCCCTTCCTGCCCAAGTCATTCCATGATACCATGAAACTCAACCCAACTCCCCTCAGAATTCCGGGATTGGAGCCCAACATCCCAAGGAGTGTCCCGAGCTCCCCAGAGAGCCTCCAGCCCACCCTGCTCCCTCCTCGGGACTGCAGCTCTCAGGGATGGAGCCGCTCAGAGCCCCTGGAACAACTGCGGGGCAGCTGCTGCAGGGACACAACGGCCCCACTCTGCTCCCGGGAATGATCCCAGAGCCAGACTAGGGGGGCTGGGAATGCCCAGCCAGGGATCAGGGGAAGCACAGCCATCCCAAATCCCAGGGAGAACCATCCCATCCCAGAGGAGAACCATCCCATCCCAGAGGAGAACCATCCCATCCCAGGGGAGGCACAGCCATCCCAAATCCCAGGGGAGGCACAGCCATCCCAAATCCCAGGGGAGGCAGAGCAATCCCAGATCCCAGGGGAGGCCCATCCCATCCCAGAGGAGAACGATCCCATCCCAGGGGAGGCACAGCCCCGCGCCAGAGAGGGAATCTCCACGCAGGTTGTGTTTTCCCAGCTCCCAACCAGCTGGGAAGCTCCAGGGATCCCAGGGGTTCTGGCACTACCTGGAGAACACGGACAGCCCCCCACTGTCACCTCCACTCTGGAGCTCTGGGAAGCACCCAGCGCTGGGAATGTCTCCAGGTGACTTTTTGGGGAATGCCCGGTGCTGGGCAGAGACAGTTCCCGCTCCAGGCGGCTCCGGAGGCTGGAGCGGGCTCTCCAGCATCACAGCTCCCCCCGGGAATGCTGGCGGGGCCGTCCTTACCCCAGGCGCTCCTTGCTCTCCTCGGGGGTGAGCTGGTCGAAGCTCTTGGCCTCCTCGGCTCCCAGGAAGGCGTCGTGGTCGTAGTCGAAGCTCTGGGCGTCGTCGTGTTCGCGGGCGCTGAGCGGGGCCTCCCGCACCACCCGCTCCTTGCGCTCCGTCGGCTTCCCGGAGCCGCACAGCGCCCACGCCAGCAGGCACAGCAGGAGCCGCGGGAACAGCATCCTCCCTGGGCCTGCACGGGGACACGGATGGCCGGGATGGGCACGGGGAAGGGCGGCCGGATCGCCGGGGACGGGCACGGAGCGGAGCTGGAATGGGAGCGGGGGCAGGTTGGTGGGGGGGAAAAAACGGGGATGAGGGATGGTTGTCTGGGAAAAAATGGGGATTAGTGCTGGTTGCCTGGGGAAAAAATGGGGAATTATGTGGAGGTTACTGGGGAAAAACCAGATTAATTAATATAGATTATGGGGCCAAAAATGAGGAATTAATCCAGACAATAAAGTGATAAATACAGATTGCCTGGGCAAAGATGATGAACTAATGCAGACTGTCTGGGAAAATGGGGAATTAGTGCACATTATCTGGGAAATGGGGAATTAGTGCACATTATCTGGGAAATGGGGAATTAGTGCACATTATCTGGGAAAAAAGGGAAATTAATGCAGGTAATCTGGGAAAATGGGGGATTAGTGCACATTATCTGGGAAAGAAGGGAAATTAGTGGAGGTAATCTGGGAAAATGGGGGATTAGTGCACATTATCTGGGAAAGAAGGGAAATTAGTGGAGGTAATCTGGGAAAATGGGGAATTAGTGCACATTATCTGGGCACAAATGACTGATTAATGCAGCTTGTCTGGGAAAACGGTTTAATTCCTGCAGATTCTCAGGGCAAACTGATTAATTCATCCAGATTATCGGGGCACAGTAATGAGCTGATACAGGTTATCTGGGCAAAAGCGATTCCCTGGCACGGAATATCAGGGTACAGCAATTAATTAACACAGATTATCGAGGCATAGGGATTAATTAATGTGCATTATAAGGGCACAGGGATTAATTAATGTGGATTATCAGGACACAGGGATTAATTAATGTGGATTATCAGGACACAGTGACCTTTGAGTCCCTGGCACGTGCGGACACCCCAGAGCCACTCCCACTCCCAACCCCCATCCCAGAGTCCCCTGGAGCAACAGCTGGGGCTGGGAGAGGATCCAAGGGTGGAGAAGGGGATCCCACTGGGAGGGAAGGGGATCCCAATGGGAGGGAAGGGGATCCAGCATGGAGAAGGAGATCCCAGCAGGAGGAATGGGAACACACCCAGCACAGCACGTGCTCTCCTCTGTCCCGACATTCCCTTTAAATTCCAATCTGAGTATTCCCTCCTCTGATCCATTTAACCCTAAACTTATATCAAGATATTCCCTTTCTCTAACTCTTTCAATCTAAGTTTAATCAGGATATTCCCCATCCAGAGCTCTTAAATCCGAATTTAATTCGGGATATTCCACACCCTCACTGCTTTAATCGAAATTTAAGCCAAACGTATTCCCCATCCTCATCCCTTTAAATTTACATCCAGGTGCTCCCCACCTTCAGCTCTTTAAATCTGTGTTTAAACTCCGGGTATTCCCCATCCTTATGCCTTTAACCTGGACTCAGAGCAAGGAATTCTGCCCTGGGAGTGACCTAGGAATGACCCAGGACTGGCCCCATGTCAAACTAGGACAGTGGCATCAGGACACGGGGACAAGGACATGGAAAAGCCCCTTCCTGCCCCTTTTTTGGGAGGAGGATTTATTGGGCCATTCAGAAAACCTGCAAAGTCCAATTCCTTTGGAAGTTTGGGGGGAGCAGGGAAAGGGGATTTGGGTTATAAAGAGGAAAAAGTCACTTTTTTGGTGTTTCCAGGAAAGAAAAACATTCCAGGAGGAGGGGAAAGGAGGGGAAAAGCCAATTCCAGGTGTTATCTAAACAGAGCTCTGGATATATCCCCGTCCCAGGGATCTGACTCTTGCTCATTCCAGGCACATCCCAGGGATCAGCCCGGCCTGGGGCACAGAGTGACCTGGAACGGGGTCAAACACCCTGATTTTATCTCCAGAGTCCACACAGAGCCTCTGGAAGCCACTGCAGAGGGACACTCCGACCTCCAACCGGATCCAGGCACGGATCCTGGGAGAGGTGCTCGGAGAGGCCAAACCAACACACCAACTGCTACCCACAATTATCCATAAAAACCCTGGCAGCACCTTCTGCCAGCCAATGGGATGGACCCCGAGATTCCCCCTGGAAAAAACAGCCCTTTTCCAGCTGGGAAGGGCAGCGGATCCCTCTTCTCCCGAGCAAAGAGGGGAAGGCAGGAACAGGGATCAGTGGTGGGAAAGGTGGGGGCTGTCCCCTCGGAATGGGGGGTCTGGAACCTCAGCTGGGGGAGGAATTCGTCATTCCAGGAGGGCTGGGTGGGTTATTGATGGAGGAACTTGGGTTTGCTTCAATACTGATGAATAAATAAACCCAGAATTCCCATTGGGCTCACTTGGAATTCCACGCCGGGCTCGGAATTGTGGTGGGATTTACAGCAGGAGCCCCTCTGGAAGCACATTTCCCACCTGGGAAGCTGATAAGATCCCACAAAACCCCCTCAGGGGCGACACAATTCGTTCAGGTTTGGGAATCAGCTCCTGTTGTGGCTTTTTATGGGATTGATCCCGTTGGAGCAGCCAGGCACCAATTACCTGGGACACCCAGTGCCACACGAGGACACAGGAAGGGGGAAGGGGGCACCTCTGAGGGGAATTCCCAGCCCTGGGGGAATTTATGGATCTGAGGGAGTCACTGGGAGCCCAAACCAATCCCAGGGTATAAACGGGCAGGTCCTGCCCCAAACCAGCCCCCCAGGGCCTGGGGGTCACCGACGGCTCCGGAAGGGGAAAACGGATTTGGGGTGACACCCCATGCAGGACGGCACCACCAGGGGTCCCACAGCCCCTTATCCCGGGAGTCCCACAGGCCCTTATCCCGTTATCCCGGGGGTCCCACAGCCCCTCATCCCGTTATCCCGGGGGTCCCACAGCCCCTTATCCCGTTATCCCAGGGGTCCCACAGCCCCTCATCCCGTTATCCCGGGAGTCCCACAGCCCCTTATCCCGTTATCCCGGGGATCCCCAGCCCCTTATCCCGTTATCCCGGGGGTCACACAGCCCCTTATCCCGTTATCCAGGGGGTCCCACAGCCCGTCACCCGTCGGAGGACGCTGCGGGGTTGCCCGCGGGCCGGTCCCGGGCGGGCGGCGGGGCCCGGACGGGGCTCAGTGCCCGGGACGGGGCAGCCCCGGCCCGCCCTGGGTCTGGCACACGGGCGGCCCCGGGGCCGCTCAGCACCGCACGGGCCGGGCCCGGCTGCGGCAGTCGCGGGCACGGCGGCGGTGCCGCTCCCGCCCGTTCCCATGGCGACCGGGCCCGGCCGCGTTACCGCCGCCACACAGCGGCCCGGCACAGCCACCGCCGCCGCCTCCCGCTCCCCGGGCCCGAAGCCCATGCCCGGATCGGAACGAACCGAATCGATCCGATCCCATCCCATCCCATCCCGTCCCGTCCCGTCCCTCACCGTCCCAGCCGCCGCCGCCGCTCCGCGCACCGGAAGTCGTTGCCCCGCCACGCCGCACGGCCCCCCGCGCGCCCGCGCTGCCAGCCAATCACAGCCCGGCCGCTCCTCCCCCGCCGCGCCGTTCTCCGCGCTGATTGGTCCGATCCGCCGTCACTCCGCACCTGCGCCCGCCCCTTTCTCGCCGCGCCCCGCCCACCCCTCCCGTCCCTGCCATCCTCTGTCCCCGCCCCCCCACGCGCGGGGCGCCGGAGCTGATTGGCTGGAAAGCGCCACGTCCTCAGGCGCGCGCCGGCCGCCGGCCCCGCCCCCCCGAGGGGCGCCCCGTGCTCACTGCGCACGCGCCTGGGAGGGACAGGGGGGTGGAAAAGGCGGGAAAGTCGAGGCGGCGGGGGCGCCATGTTGGGGGGGGCGAGGGGGCCATTCCAGGGCCATTCCAGGGCTATTCCAGAGCCATTCCCAGGGCCATTCCCAGCCTTTCCCACCCGGACAAGCAGCGGGGCTGCCACGGAGCCTCTCGGGTGGAGTTCTGGCCACAGAGCCATGGAAACAGTTGCGTTCACACAGTCATAGGCTCCCCTGAGCCGCAGGGACCCACAGGGATCACTGATCCAACCCCTGGCTCTGCACAGACACCCCAACAATCCCACCCTGGCCCCGAGAGCGCTGTCCAAACACTCCTGGAGCTCTGGAGCTGTGACCTCTTCCCTGTTCAGTGCCTGACCCCCCTTTGGGGAAGAACCTTTCCCTGAGATCCAACGTGACCCTGCCCTGGCACAGCTCCAGCCCTTCCCTCATTCCTGACATCTTTGTCCAGCTGGGCTGGGCAAAGATGTCAGGAATGACGTGGGGAGAGACAGAATTGAAACATTTTTAAACTGCAAGAGAGAGATGGAAGGGCTGGAGCAGGGAAGGGAACGGGGCTGGGAAGGGTGTGGAGAACTCCTGAGGGAGCTGGGGGGGCTCATCCTGGAGAAAAGGAGGCTCGGGGGGACCTTCTGCCTCTGCAAGTCCCTGCCAGGAGGGGATGGGGCACAGAGTGGACTCCATGGGCTGCGAAGACTTTTCCAACCTCTGGGATTCTGGGAAAGCCTTACTGAAATCCCAAAGGATTTCCTCTGGCTTCAATGGATCACCTCAGGGAAGACCTTGAGGAGGTTTGGCAGCCGGGATGTTCCCTGGTGGCCCCATGGGTGTGGTGTTCCTTCTCCGTAACTCCCAGAGTGACCTTCTCCATGCTTGGACCAGGCACCAAAAGGAGACAACAGGCCTGGAGCTTCCAGGTCGTCCTTGTCGCCCTCCTGGAAAATTGGGATGTTTGCCAGCTGCCAGGGGATTTCAGTTGGAAACCATCCCCAGCACTGCCAAGGCCACCACTGACCCATGTCCCCAAGTGCCACATCCACAGGGTTTGGAAATCCTTCCAGGTTACAGGCACTCCACCCTGCCCTGGGCAGCTGTGCCAGGGCTGGACAGCGCTTTCCATGAGGGAATTCCTCCTCATGGCCAACCTGAGCCTCCCCTGGCACAGCTTGAGGCCGTTTCCCCTTGTCCTGTCCCTGTTCCCTGGGAGCAGAGCCCGACCCCCCCCGGCTCCCCCCTCCTGGCAGGGACTTGCAGAGCCAGAAGGTCCCCCCTGAGCCTCCTTTTCTCCAGGATGAGCCCCCCCCAGCTCCCTCAGGAGTTCTCCAGCCCCTTCCCAGCTCCCTTCCCTTCCCTGCACACGCTCCAGCCCCTCTCTCCAGGTGGGTCCCAGCCATGCTCCAGACGTGTCCTAAGCCATGAGCACATGGATCTGGAAATAACCTCAGGGCTCCTCTCTTGGAGTGACAGCCCGGCTATAAATAAACCCACTCGCTCCGGTGGCCGAGGCTGCGCCGCTCTAAAGGGCTCCTTGGACGAGGTGTGATGCCATCGGCAGGGAATGTCTCCCGATCCCGGTTTACGGGCTCCCAGCAGCGTCAGGTTCTATTTAACCCGCGCTGGCTCCTCGCGGTGACACATCGGGGCTGAGGTCAGCGCCGATGCCGAGGGATGAGCCCCGGGAGCCGCGTCTGCCCCGCTCCCCGCGGAGCCCCCGGAGAGAAACCGGCGCTTCCAGGGCCGTGATTCATCCCCATCCCGCAGAAATGCCTAAATTAGGGCAGCGGGAGAGGCCAGGGCTGCGGCTCCCCCGCTCCGAGGGAGCTGTGCCGGGGCAGAGGCTCCCGGCGGATATTTACAGTCCATGAGATAATTCCCTCTACCCTCGCGGGGCCAGGACTGACACAGCCCCGCAGTGAAGTCACAGCCTGAAAAAAAACTCACCCGAAGTTACTTGGAGAACCTCCCGCTGCATCTCTCCCCTCGTTAATCCCCCCCTTGGATCTGGCAGGCTCTCAAAGGGAACACGATCCCGGAGATCGGGAGCGGGCACTGGCAGCAGGAGATCTGTTTGGTTTTGTTCATCAGAGGTGGCTCGGCGGGGCTGAGAGGGCTTTTCGGTCAAAAGGTGACTCAGCAAGGTTGAAATGCTTTGCTCGTTGAAAATGCGCCTTGGAGGGGGTTGAGGTGGGTCTTTTAAATAAAAAATGGCTTGAGGGGGTTGGGATTTATTTTTTTTAATTAAAAAAAAACAGTTTGAGGGGCGTTTAGAAGTTTTTTTAATAAAAAATGCCTTGAGGTGCTGAAGTGTTTGGTTATTTTAATAAAAGGTTGGGGGGCATCTCTGTGGTTTTTAGACTTTAATGCTTGTGGATTTCAAGCTTTTCTTTACTCCCCAGAGGACTCCAGATTTTTCTCTTTCCAAGAAATCCCAGAGAACCTCCAGTTGGAAGGATGCAGGGCTCCCAGGAAAATGGGGAGCAGCCCAGCTTTCCCCAGGTCTGGCCCATGCCAGTGGGAGCAGGTGATCCACCTCTTACCCCACAATCCAGTCTGACCATCCCTAATGGGAATCAAATCCCATTCGATCCATCCATGGCTGCCGTTCTTGTGTTGACTGAGCCCGGCCGTTTTCCCTGCTCTGGGAGTGATTTATTGCATTTCCTCACAGAAGTGCTCATGTAAATCCCTTTGCCTCTTCTTTTGAAGGAGCCAAAGAACCCCTGAGCTCCAAGTCCCTCATGAACCCCCTTTTCTCTGCTTCTCAGACCATTCCCATTGTTCCTTGTTCCACTTCTCCCAGTTTCTCAATCTTTTAAAGCCACTGACACATTGCAGCTGGATCCTCTTTGTTCACAATACTTAGCACAAGGCAAAACCAACTCCCAATCCCTGCTTTCCCGTCTCAAGCTCCCCAATCCCAGGATCCCACTGTTTTTCCCCAAACTGTGGACATTTAATGGTTTCTCCCCACTGACAGATGACATTTCCCTTCCCCTTGGCCTTGTCCTGCTCCTGGCCTGTGCTGAGAGCAGCTCCACCCCAAACTGGGGGGTGATAATCCAATTTTCACACACTTCCCAGCTGGATATTCATTAATGGGACCTTCAGATGCTTCCAAACCCCAGAATTTAGCAAACCATGTTATTTATTAACCAGCTTTTGGGCTGCAGCCCCGTTTGCCCCCTTGTCACACACCTTGGCCAGCAGAGCTCCAGGGAGGATGGCCTCAGGATCTGGGCAAAGGAGGAGGGAATTTTATGTGTCTCATGCCCTGCCTCAGTTTACCTCAGCCAATGGGAAGATGGCTTTGGAAAGCCCAAACCACCAAACCTTTCCCAGCTTCCTCCAATGACTCATTCCCGATTTACCCCGATGCTCCTGTGCCTCGTCCTGACCCTCCGTGGGGTGCTCTGGCAGTCGGGGGGCCAGGCTGGTCCCACAGCTGTGCTCCCAAGGGGAGCCACGCTGAGCCCAATCCCATAAACCCTGGAGCCGCAGGGCCGTGACACCATCCTGGATCGGCACTGGGAAAAGCACGAACCTCCCGCTCCCCACCAAAAAATAAAAACAACAAAAAATCCGGCAGAACAACCCGCGGATCCCCCCCGCGGTGGTTGGAAGGTGCGGGGCGAGGGAGAAGGAGGAATCCCGGGGCCGGGCGTGCAAAAGTGGGGCGGCTGTGGGAGGCTTGGACACAGGGATGGGAGCGAGGAATGCCCCGGCTAATCCTCTAGCCCGCTGCCGCCTATTTAGGGAAGAACCAAGGAGGCCGCGTCGGGCTCCTGGCATCCCTCCCGGCCCCGCTGGCCGAACCCCGGCCCCGCGTCCCCTCCTCCCGCTGCTCGGGGTCAGCCCTCGGCAAAGCCGCCTGGGCCGGAGCGGAGCTCCGGGGCCCGCAGAGACGGAATTCCCGCTCCTCCGGCCGCCCCGGCGTGTGCCGAGGGCACCGGGAGCCGGGGATGAGGCGCTGGGAGCCGGGGATGAGGCGCTGGGAGCCGTGATCTCAGGGAGCAGCAATGCGAGGGCGCTGCCAGCGCGGCCGCCAGCCCAGAAATGTCCTTGTCCCTGCACGGCGCTGTCCCTGGCGTTGCCAGGGGCACACACCATTGTCCCCAGCACCTGTCCGGGGCCACCACCGCGGGGACATGGGACAGCGCCGAGCCCGGGGCGGCTCCGAGGCAGGACCCGCTCCCGCCGGGCTCGGGCGTGTGTTGAGGAAGAAAAGAGGGGTCTGCCCCAGCCGAGCCGGCGGCCCGGAGCTCCCGCTTCCCGCTCGGCACCCCGAACTCCCCAAATTCCGTGTGTTTCTGCACCTCTGCGCTGTCACTGCCAGGGCACGCTCACGTCGGATGTGCAGCGCGAATTCCAAGCGGCTCTTACGCCGCCCCTTGGAACTCCCGGGATCCCGCAGCGGGATGGGGGCTGCGGGGCGGGACAGCTCCCAGCTCCGAGGGGGCTTCTCCGCCCCGCTCTCCCGCTGCGAGATGACGGATGCTGGTGAAGGATTACACCATCAGTCTCCCCCTCATCCCGGGCGGTAAATTTTCCCTAACTCTCTCCATCTCCTGGAGCTTTTATTGGGAGCGCTCGAGCCAAGAAGGAGAGACTGAACTGGGGAACTCCTGTTTACGGAGCAGATGGATTTAATTAAAACCATTTAAGTCATTAAAGTGATTTGCCAGCTAAATCAGCACAGGGAGAAACCTCCCACCAAAACCTCCCTCTCAGGTTTGTCCTTTTAACCCTTTCCTCGGGGAAAGGTCACGGGAGGCAGTGGTTGGGTCCCGGTGAAAGTGAAAGAACCCAGAGACAACCGTGTGTCCCCAGTGTCTCGGGAGGCTCCGGGACTCGGCGTGTGGCCGTCCTGGCACGGTGGCTTTGCCGCGGGACATCCTGGATCCGATCCCTGAGGCGGGTCCTGCCCGTGCCCGCCTGCGGCTCTGCCTTTCCCGGGAAACGAGCTCGCTTCCCGCTGCCCGGCAGGTTCCGGCGCTCCGTCCCGCGCTGCTCTTCGTCACCCGATCCCGGAGAGCTCCTCTTCGCTGGCTCCCGGCTCCCGACGCCTCGCAGCGCCCGAGGGAACATCCCGTCACGGCTCCGTGAACTCAGCACCCCCCAAATAGCCCGGCCAGCCTCCGGCGGGAGCGCTGCGGCCCCGGCTCCGGCCCGAGGATGATCTTACAGCCCGGGAAGCTCCAAACCGCCGCTCCTGTCCATAAAAAGCAAAGGGCTTTGAGCATGGAATCATCGGGGCTGCAGGGATTGCGCCAGCGGGGGGGAATCGCTCCCGGGAGGCCGCGCCGTAGGAGAGGGGAGAGAGGAAAGGGGAGAAGAAAAAGGGGAGAGGGCAGAGGGAGCAAGACTGGGGCGGTCAGAGCCCCAAAACGTGGCTCAGTCCTGGCACCAGCCCCTCCAAGGGTCTGTAAAACACACCCAGAGCTTTGCTCCCATCGTTCCCCTCCTCAGGCACCTCATCTGGAAGGGAAAACACGATCCAGATCCAAACTGTGCCCCAGAACTAGTTATCAGGAATACAGACAGGGTGGCAATCCCTCATTTTTCCCTGTTATTGCCCCCAAATCCCGGGCTATCCCATGCCACTGGCTCTGGAGACCATCCTGGGGTGCCAGGGAGCCAGGAAAAGCTGAGGAACAGACGCCGGGCACCTCCACAGCAGCAGAACCCACCCGGCTGCAAGAGGCCGCGTGGGGATGTCCTTCCCAATGGGAAGCCAAGCTTTCCAGGCAGGGAGAGGAACACCACTTCCAGGTCCAAGAGATAAAATTGGAATTTAATTAAATTAAGGAGACATTTGCAGAGCTAGAACATCCAAAGCCGCTCCCAGCGACACCGCACGCTGCGCCCCATCCGGACACACAGATACACCGACCCCTCCAGTACCTCCTGGGCCACAGCCAGGCCCACTCATCCACAATTCCCAGGAGTGTGGATTTCCTCCTCCTTCTCTTCCTTGGCCCCCTCAGCCAGCCACGGGGCCGGTCCGTGTGTCCGGGTGCAGGCGGATCTCCACCAGCCGGACGGCACGGAGCAGCACGGCCAGCTGGGAGCACAGCCGGGCCACCACGTCCAGCACAGGATCCACCAGGTCCCGGATGCCACCCAGCACCTTCAGCAGGAAGAGCAGGAGCGGCTGCAAGAGGCTGTGGAACGCCGCTGCCAGGAGAGGCTTCAGGACGTGGTCGCCAACAGCTGTGAGGACGCCGACCACCAGCGCCTGGATTTGGGATGAAATCCTGGGTTTGAGGGATATTTGCCAGCGGGAGCCACCAAAAACGGGCTGAGACACAGAAATTCCGCTATAGGAGGGGAAATTTGGGATAGCGGGAACCAGAAGTTTCTTCTCCCGACGCTGAAGGATTTTGACGTCCTCAGCTCTGGCCGCGTCTCTGTGGGAATGGGGCGGCTCACCTGGACCAGCGCCTCGCCAAGGAAGCGGATCAGCTCCACGAGGAAGAGGCTGAACACGCTGACCAGGCACCGTGGGATGGAGAAGAATTCCCGCAGCTTCCGCTGAACCGTCCACTCGGAGCTGCCGTGGAGAAAATGGGATGTCAGAGCCAGAGTGCCGACCTGCCGAGGAAATGGATCCCAGAGCGGATCCAGTGCCCCAGCCGGCTCCTCAGCACCACATCCCAGCTCCAGAGCCACCAAAGTTGGGATGAGAAAGCACAGGAGCCATGTTTCCACAGGCTCTCCCTGTATGGCCAAACCCAGCAGAAGTAGCCCCAAAACCAAATCCACCGGGATAGCACCCAGAGCACAGCTGGCCGGGAGCCCGGGAAGTGCCAGGCCAGCTCCAGGGAATCCCTTCCAACACCACCACGCCGGGAGCGGCTCCGGCGTGGGCAGGGCTGGGGCTCCCTCTCACGGCCACGAGGCGATCCGGGAGACACATCCCAGTTTCTCTTTCCAGAAAAACACGCGGTGAAGAGGGGCGGACTGTGCCAGGCTGGGAGGAAACCCCGTCCTGCCGGCGCGCCATCCCTCCTGCCCGCGGGAACGCGGCGGCAGCGGAGCCGGTTCGGAGGGGAAGGAGCGACTGGGGGAGCCGCGACACAACCCAAACCCTGAGGTTTTCCCCCGTTTTGTTCCCGTGACCGAAATCCCGGAGTTCAACGCCCACCCCATCCGGGGTCCCGCTCCAGAGAAACCCCCTGCAAGACCCGAGCGGACATCGGAGTGGGATCCTTGGGGGAAATATCCCCTCAGCTTCCCACAGTCGGCGTTCTTGGTGCCTTTCCCCGTCTGGGATCAAGCCCCGTCCTGCGCTGGATTCAGCCGGGCTGCAGCTGCCCCTCGGGATCAACCGGGATCCCAGCAAAAGGAGGGGACAGCTGGCAGCCGGAACGGCGGGACGAGCCGCAGAGCAGCGATCCGGCTGGGAATCCACCGGAATAACTGCTTCTGTCCCCTGGGAACACACCGGGGTCCGACCCCCGACCCCCGGGAATCCACCGGGATCTAATCCCCCCGCCCCGCACCCCGGGGACACCCCGACACAGCCCCCTCGCGGCAGCGATGAACGGGGTCGTTCCCCCCCAGGGGAAGGGGGTCCCGGTACCTCCTCCGGTTTCTCCTGCCGGGGCGGGGCGGGGGCACCGGGGGCCCGGGGGGCACCGGGGGGGCCCGGAGTGCGGCGGGAGCCACCCGGCGCCATAGACAGGCCACGCCCCCCCAAGACCACGCCCATCAACTCGGCCCCTCCCCTCGTTGCCGGGCAACAAGGGGCGGGGCCGAGCGGGGGGGCGGGGCGGAGCCTAGGGTGAATGACAGAGAGCGCTGCCAATCACAGCCCGCAGAGGAGGTTCCCGCCCACCGCGGGGATCCCCGCGCGTCACGTGGATATGGACATGCAAATGTATGCAAATAGTATGTTAATGAGGGGTCTGCCCGTGTTCCGGCGGGGGGACAGCCGGGGAGAAGAGGGGCACAGGGGACAAGGGGGTGGGGGCTCACGGGGGTCACAGAGGGACACGGGGATGGGGGGACACGTGGGGATACAGGGGACACACAAGGAGACACGGGGATGGGGGGCCTCAGGGGGATACGGAGAGGACACACAAGGAGACACGGGGATGGGGGGCCTCAGGGGGACACAGAGGAGCACGGGGTGGGGGGACACGGGGGCCGGGGTGGGGACACACAGGGGGCCAGGGGAGGGTGACTCGGGGTGCGGGGGCCCGGGCGAACACGGGACCGGTTCCCGGTGACCCCCGGGCGTGGCGGTGCCGGGGCGGTGCCGGCCGGTCTCGCCCCACGCCCACGCCCGGCCCCGCGTGCGGAAGCTCCGCGCGGCGGCCCCGGGACCGGCCCCGAGCGCAGGTGAGACCCGGGGGGCTCCGCCGGGGGTCCCCATGGGGAAGGAGTCGTGGGATGGGTCCCCCTGGGTAGGGCTATACTGGGGAGTCCGGGAGCAGCGCCCCGTCCCTGAGCGGGGGCAGCAGCCCCGGGGCACCCCCGGAACCCGCCGCGCCCAGTGCCGGTCCGTGCGACACTGGCGTGGGCACTGCCCCGGGGTGGGGGGGCGACATGCGGGGCACCAGGGTCGGAGGGGGGCGGATCACGGGGGAATCTCCCCCTCTCGCGACTGCTGGGAGGGACCCCACAGGGACCATGGACTGGACTCCGCGTGTCCTCCGTGTCCCCGTCCCCCGTGTAACCCCCGTGTACTCCCCGGTCTCTCTGTCCCCTGTTCCCCCCTCATCCCATAAATGCCAGCTCCATGTCCTCCCTATCCCCCTGTGCCCCTTGTCCCCTCGTGTCACCCCCGTGTCCCTGGTCCCGTCTCCATGTCCCTTGTCACCCGTGTCCCCTCTCCCCCGTGAGTTCCCCGTGTCCCTCCTGTCCTCCTATCCTCCTGTTTCCTGTCCCCTGTCTCCTCACTGTGTCCCTCCCATGTCTCTGTGTTCCCCATCTCTCGTGTCCCCTGTCCCACCGTGTCCCCCGTTCCCAGTGTCCTTCCCCTGTCCTTCGTGTCCCCTGTTCCTCCTGTCCCCTCCCCTTCTCAGCTTCACTTTTCTTTCCCCGAAGCCGCCGCAGCTTCTGCTTTCGGGGCGCGGGTGACGCCCCCAACCCTCCCGGGGGGGAAGCACAACCTCGGGGGGGCCTCAACCCCCCTCCCGGCCCCGAAAGAGGAACGGGGGCCCCGCACGGTCTCTGTGGGGAGGCTCCGGTTCCTCTTTTGGGGCCGAGCGTGGCACCGGGGCTGTGGGGTCACGAGGTGCCCGTGGTGTCCCCAAGGCCATGGACCCTCCCCGGCGCGTTCGCCTCAAGCCCTGGCTGGTGGCCCAGGTGAGCAGCCACCGCTTCCCGGGCCTGCGCTGGCTCGACCCCGAGCACCGGCGCTTCGTCATCCCCTGGGGACACGCCACCAGGAACCCCCCGGGGCCGCAGGACCACGACACCATCTTCAAGGTGACACCGGGGGGACACGGGCTGGGGGGGGAGTTGGGGCGATGGGGTGACAATGGGGACATGGGGTGGGGACAATGGGGGTATGGCATGGGAGCTATGGGGTGACAGTGGAGACATGGGGTGGGGACATGGGATGGGTGATAATGGGGTTATGGGATGGGTGACAATGGGGGTATGGCATGGGATCGATGGGGTGACAGTGGGGACAGGGGGTGAGTGACAGTGGGGGTATGGCATGGAGCGATGGGGTGACAGTGGGGACAGGGGGTGGGTGACAGTGGGGGTATGGCATGGGAGCGATGGGGTGACAGTGGGGACAGGGGGTGGGTGACAGTGGGGGTATGGCATGGGAGCTGTGGGGTGACAGTGGGGACAGGGGGTGGGTGACAATGGGGGTATGGCATGGGAGCGATGGGGTGACAGTGGGGACATGGGGTGGGTGACAGTGGGGGTATGGCATGGAGCGATGGGGTGACAGCGGGGACATGAGGTGGGGACAATGGGGACGTGGGATGGGAGCGATGAGCGGGACGCAGGATGGGAGTGACAAGGGTGGTGAGACACGGGACGGGGGTGTGACGGTGGGATTAGGGTGCCGAGGGGGACCTGGGATGACGGGCTGGCAGGGGCACAGCGGGTAGGGGTGCCCCGTGCCGGGTGCTGAGCCCGCCCTCCCCCAGGCGTGGGCGCAGGAAACGGGCCGGTTCCGCGCCGGGGACCCCCCGGACCCCCCGCGCTGGAAGGCCACCCTGCGCTGCGCCCTCAACAAGAGCCGCGAGTTCCGCCTGCTCCTGGACGGGCCCCGCGCGTCCCCGGCCCAGCCCTTCCGCGTCTACGAGCTCTGCGAGGGCCCCCCCGGGGGCGCAGGTACTGCTGGGGGGGCTCCGGGAGGGCACCCACAAGGACCTGGCACCCTGCAAGGCTCCAGCACCCCATAAACCCCCTTATGAGACCCTGTGAGGTCCCAGAACCCGACAGGGACCCGGCATCCCAGACAGACCCAGCACCCCGCAAGCCCCACCCCCCGCCATAAGGGCACAGTAGTGCCTCCAGAGACTTGCCCCCCAGCAGGGACCCATCACCCTGTGGAGCCTCAGTACCCCCACAAGTCCCCAGTACCCTCAATACCCTCTCCAGCACCCCCCAACTGCCTCTGCAGCTCCCAACTGCCCCTCTCTCCCTTGCAGATGGGGGGGATGAGGACGACTATGGCTGCAGTGGGGAGGAAGACGTCAGCCAGGTACCTGGGGGGGGGCGAGGCTTGGGGGAACCCCCAACCGGGGACCCCTGGGAGGGGCTGGGGGTTCCCGGTAACTCCTGCTCTCCCCCACAGCTGCAGAAGATGACAGCCCTGAGCATCGATGGTGAGTGGGGGGTGCCAGGTGGGTGGGGACACACCTTTGGGGTGCACCCTCTGACCCCCTCCTCTCTGCCCCAGACACCCAACATGGGGGGGACCTGCTGCCCCCCTACCCCTGGCCCAAGGAGGAGCCTCCCTGCTTCGCCAGCTGCTGTCCCTCAGGGGGGCCCTTTGTGCCACCCCCCCCGGCCCTGCTCCAGGGGGAGCTGGGGGGCACCCAGGGGGCCCCCGAGCTGCGCCCCCCTGCCCTCGGCGAGACGGGCTCCCCCCTGGGCCCCCCATCGGCCTGCCAGGTGGCACCGACAGAGCACCTGATGCCAGACCTGCTCGTCAGCCCCCACATGCTGCCACGTGAGGAGGGGCCGGGGGGCTCACGGGGGGCTGGGTGGGGTGGCAGGACAGGGTGTGCTCGGGGAGGTGTGATGGGATGGGGGTGGCCGTGGGTGAGGGGTGGCTGTGGGATGGCGGGACAGACGTGGCCACGGGGTGCCCGCGGGGTGGGTGTGGGTGTCCCTGGGGTGCTCCCTGGCCCCCCCTGACCCCGCTGCCCCCGCAGTGACTGACCTGGAGCTGAAGTTCCAGTACCGGGGCCGCCAGGTCTGTGCCCTCACGGTGAGCAACCCCCACGGCTGCCGGCTGTTCCACAGCAGCCTGGAGCCCACGCGGGAGCAGGAGGAGCTCTTCGGGCCGCTGACGCTGGAGCAGGTGCCCTTCCCTGCTCCCGACGCCATTCCCAACGAGAAGCAGCGCTTCTACACCCACCAGCTGCTGGATGTGCTGGACCGGGGGCTCATCCTGGAGCTCCAGGGCCAGGACCTCTTTGCCCTCCGGCTCTGCCAGTGCAAGGTCTTCTGGACGGGGCCCTGTGCCAGCCCCCAGCCCGGCCCCAACCCCATCCAGAGGGAGACGAGGACCAAGCTCTTCAGCCTCGAGGGCTTCCTAAACGGTCAGAGGGGAAGGGGTGTCCTCTGAGGGCAAAGGATGGGATGGAGGGCTCAGCTGGGGTGGTGGTGGGACAGGCAGGCGTGAGGCCCCGTCCTGCCCCTCACCTCGGGCTTGGGCCCCTCAGGGCTCATCCAGTTCCAGAAAGGGCAGACCCCCACCCCGCCCCCCTTCGAGATCTTCCTGTGCTTTGGGGAGGAGTGGCCGGACCAGAAGCCCAAAGAGAAGAAGCTGATCACGGTGCAGGTGAGGGGCTGGGCCCCCGTCTGTCCCCGGGAGGACGCGGGCGTGTCCCTGCGCCGGTGACACCGGGGGCTCTTGCAGGTGGTGCCGGTGGCAGCGCGGCTGCTGCTGGAGATGTTCTCCGGGGAGCTGTCGTGGTCGGCCGACAGCATCCCGCTGCAGATCTCCCACCCCGACCTCAAGGACAGGATGGTGGAGCAGTTCAAGGAGCTGCACCAGCTCTGGCAGAGCCACCAGCGGCTGCCACCGGCACAGCCCCCGCCTGGCCCCTCTGCCGCGCCTTGGGCGCTGCCACCCGGCCCCCTGCCCCACTGAGGGGACACGGGGGACACCAGGGACACCACGGCACTGCCAGCCAGGCTGACAAGTCACCCTCCCTCCCCCCTTCCAGAGTTTTGGGGAAAACAGCAAGAAAACAGGGGCAGGCTGGGGCCACGCTGGATTGGAGCCCCCAGGGCTGGGGTCACAAAGCAGCCTCAGCCTTGAGAAAAGCAGCAGAGGGGCCTCGGGAGGGTGTAATTTCTCTTTTCAGTTTTTTGTTGTTTTTTTATTGTTCTCGAGATGGCTACACACCCCCGGAGGGAACCGCATGCGCCCGCCCGCCCTCGAGCCGCTGCCTCCAACCCCAAAATCAAACCAAAGAAAACCCAAAAAAAGGGAAAAAAAAAAAAAAAAAAAAAAAAAAAAAAAAAAAACCCAAACAAGAAAACAAACTAAAAAAAAAGCAGAACAAAATAAAATATAAATCTCTATTTGCAGAGTCCATCCCACCCGTGTCGCCTCTGGGAGTCGGCACCAGGCAGGGCGCGGTGGGCTCAGGGGGCAGTGCCCCAGGACCCCCCCGACTGACCCCCATCTTCCTAAAAGAATTTGTATTGTTTGCTTTCTGTTTGTTGTTTTGTTTTTTTTTTTTTCTTTTTTTTCCTTTCTTTTTCTCTTTTTTTTTTTTTTGTCTCCATTTCACAGAAAGTTTTTCTAACTTCCTTGTTTTTGCTGCCGGGCAAATCCGTGTGGATCCGTCTGACTCCGGTGTCTGGAGGATCTTGGAGTTGGGTGTTGGGGGGGGTTTTCTTTCCCCGTTTTGGGCTGTTTCTCTCGTGGCGGTGTGCCGAGATCTGGGCCGTGGATGCGCCGGGCAGGCGGAACCCCCAGGTCGTCCTCCCGCGGCCCCGGGACGCGCTGGAGCGGGCGAGAGCCCTCGGCTGATTGTGGGACACATTCTTGGGTTGCTCTTTCCTGTCTTCTCCTTAAAGACATTCCTGGCAGGGGGAAGGGAGGGTCAGCCCTTCGCCCCTGCTGTCCCAGGGGGTGACAGAGCCTGGAAGCACGTGGGCCCTTACCTGGGAGACAGGAGCCGTACGCAGCCGGAGCTATCGGAACAGGCGGGTGAAGTCCCTCAGAGCCCAGCACACTTGTTTACATTCCTCAGCACTGCGAGACAAGGGCTGACATCAGCGGGTGGCACCAGGGGGGTGACACTTAAGGGGATGTCTGGGATGTTGGGGAAAGTGTCCTGCCGAGGGATGGGATCTGGGAGCTTGGCTTCTGGGAGCTTGGCTCTGAGATGTTGGGAGAGACAAAGGGACAATTGCTGGGACAGAACAGGCTCAGCAGCCCCCGGAGGGGACCCCTGTGCCACCATGGCAGTGGCTGGGTGAAAGGAACCAGCTTCCCAGGGCACTTGGCCTCCGGGATTTGTCCAGCACCGAGACAGGGCCGGGCAGAGAGAGTCGATGTTCCCACACTGGCCAGAGGCCCCGGGCAGATCTGGCTCTGGCCCTGAGAATGGACAGGCCCGGGCAGGGCCCAGCAGTCGGAGCTGGTGACTCACAGGGACAAGGAGGTGGCTCAGGAAGGGGCAGGGATTGGGCCAGGTGGAAAAACCCGTCTGGCCACGGCAAAGGGGACACGGGCCCTCCACGACTCCTGCTGGGCCCCGGGAGCAGGGATGGAACAGCCCAGCAGGAGGGACTCTGTGGGCAGGGCTGGGGGCTCTGGGGCTGCTGGAAGCTGTCCCATGGGAAGCAGCAGGCTCCAGGATATCCCAGCTGGAGACCTGGCCCTGCTCACCTGGTGACCTGCTTGTGGAAGTCGGTGAGCTGTTTGTGTGTCACCTGGATGGCTCCACCCGTGGTTTCCTTTGGCAACCCCTTCAGTGAGTTCTCCAGCCAGCGGCAGAACGTCTGTGCCAGGGACACGGAGGAACTTGGGATGAGGAGCCAAACGTGGCTCCTGGGTCCTGCCTCGAGGGAGCTCTGGGGTCCCACGGGGGCAGCTCAGGGCTGCAGCCCGACCCTCTGGGGGTTCATCCCACCCCTCTGGAGTCCAGCCTGACCCTTTGGGAGCTAATCCCACCCCTCTGGATTCCAGCCCCACCCTTTGGGAGCTCAGACCAGCCCTTTGGGGGTCCATCCCCTCCCAGGGGAGCTGTGCCCTCACCGGGCGGTCGATCTGCATGATCTCCCAGAGCACCTCGGCGACGTCAGGCAGGGTGTAGGGCGGGAGGCAGAAGCAGCACGTGTGCAGGAGCTGGTTCACGAGCTGCTGTCCCAGCTGGGTCATCACCTGGTTGATGAGCTCCTTCCGCACTTCGAAGTCTTCCTCGTGCTGTGGGAAGGAGGAGGAGGAGGAGGAGGAGGAGGAGGTGAGCAGGGCCTGGGACAGGGACACGCTCCTCACCCTGGAGGTGACTCCCAGAGCTTCTCCGCCAGCAGAGTGGCTGGGAGGACCACAGGACAAAGATGATGGGGCTGGACAGGGCTTGGGGCAACCAGGTCTGGCAGGAGGGGGGTGGAACGAGATGGGCTTTAAGGTCCCTTCCCACCAAACCACTCCACGATTCTGTGATGACAACCCCATGGAAGAAGTGCCCCCGAGCAACGTCCCCACAGAGGAGGAGCCCCCTGAGCAACATCCCCACAGAGGAAGAGCCCCCTAAGGAAGGTCCCCGTGGGTCACCCACGTCGTTGGCCACGCCGGTGTGGATGAGATCCCGCAGGAATTTCATGACGCTGCAGTTGGCGTCCCGGTGGTCCAGGGTGGTGGCGGCGATGGCCCACTGCAGGATGGGGATCATCACCTGGCTGCGCAGGAGGGTGACGGGGCTGCGCTGGATAAACCTGCCCGGGAGGATGGACGGGCGTCAGGGGCAGCTCCTGCCCCCTCCCATCCCCTCAGGGACCCTCCCCGGGGCCGGGGGGCTGGGTGGGGCTGGGGGAGCGGGGGGCACCTGGCTGCCAGGCGGAACAGGTCATCCACAGTGTCCGGGTGGTTCTGGAGGCCGTTGGGCTGCTCGAGGAGCTGGAAGGTGGGGATGCAGAGAGCCTGGGGAGGGACAGGGATCCATCAGCAACTACCTGGGATAACTCCTCCAACTCCCCTTCCCTGCACGGCCTGGGGCTGCCCCATCCCTGGGAGTGTCCATGGCCAGACTGGACAGGGTTTGGAGCAATCTGGGATAAGGGGAGGTGTCCCTGCCCACGGCAGGGGGTGGGACTGGGTGGGCTTCAAGGTCCCCTCCCACCCAAACCAGTATGATGTTCTACAGATTGGACATTAGGGAAAATTCCTTCCTGGAAAGGGCTGTCCAGCCCTGGCACACCTGCCCAGGGCAGGGGTGGAGTCCCCATCCCTGGAGGGATTTCAAAGCCCTGTGGATGTGGCACTTGGGGACACGGGTGGCCTTGGCAGTGCTGGGGGGATGTTTGGACTCAGAGGCCTTTTCCAGCCTCGGTGATTCCATGACTTGGCCGGGAGGGCCCCACCTGCAGCATGTCGAGCAGGCCCTGCCGGCAGCCCTCCTCCATGCCGTACTCATCCACCAGGATGCTGCCCAGGTAGAGGAAACAGGAGTGCTGGTGTTCCCGGTACACATTCACCATCTGGGGAGACAGGAACCCTGGCACAGTCACCCCCTGATCCACCCCTTGATCCCACATCCCCCTCCAAGCCCAGCCTGAGCCAGTGTCCCAGTCTGTCCACAGTGGGTAGGGACATCCCAAAGGACTCGCTCAGATCTGGCCTCACACCTGGGGGCGTATCTGTGCTGCAGCTCCCAGAGCCAGCACAGCTTCCCCTCCGAGCTCACCAGGAGCCTGGAGCGGAGCAGGGAACACCCAGCACTGGCATTCCCAGGCTCTGCCATCAGGCCGGGTTACCTCTCCGAGGAGCAGGTTTCACACCCCCTCCCAAATCACAGACATGCCCGCGGGGCTCCCACGACCACCCCCTGGGCCCTTCCCGCCACTCCAAAGCCTCCCTTGCTCCTCAAGGGTTCGTGCCGGAATCCCCAAAACTGCTGGGCTTTACCACAGCGCCTCCCAGAGCCACCCTGGGCTGTGACCCAACTGCAGGCCACACGACGCCCCTGGGTGCCCCAATGTGAGCAGCATCCCTGGGCCCCCCCGGCGTGGGGTACCTGCGTGACGAGGGGCTGCAGCAGCGCGGCCGAGCCCTTTCCGACGCAGCGCACGGCGAAGCGCAGGCAGCGGCAGCACCGCTCCACGATCCGGTTGTCGGCACTGTGCTTGTTCAGGGTCTCCGACAGCACCGGCCAGATCTGGGCACGGGCAGGCAGGAAAGGTCACACACACACACTCCTACCACCCACAACTCCCTCCCGATCCCCAAAACATCTGAATCCCAGAGCAGGCAGGCGGCTGCGGGAGAAAAGGAACTTTCCGGGGAGCTTGGAGCAGTTTGTCCCCTCTGGAGCAGCGCCAACGGGATACGGGCAGGGAAATCGGACACCTGAGATTCCAGGAAGTCAAAGATACAGATTTCCCGCCATTCCCCCAGCCCCTGATTCCAGGAGGGATGGGACAGCACTCCCCAGCTCCTCTCCCCTGGGCAGAGGCACCATTGGACACGTGGATCTGCCAACATCCAGGGACAGGGACCCTGTATGACACCCCCAGAACCCCCATCCCCTGAACCCCCCGAGCCCCCTTCCCAAATCCCAGATGCTCCCACGCACCTCCTGAATGACTTTTTGGCACGGGTGGACCTGGCCGTTCTCGACAATGGGGTTGGTGTGTCTGTGGGAACAGCCAAGGATTAAGGGGGGTTGGTTGGGATTAAAGCCGAGGAAACAGGTTGGAGCTGCAGGAAGGGGACCAGGAAGAGGCTTGGGGGGCTCAAGAGCTGGAACCGGGGGAAGTAGCAGCTTCCAGCCCATTCCCCATGGGCTGGGGAGAAGGAGCCGGCACAGATTCAGGATCAGGGCTCTGGGGGAGCAGCTCTGCCCCAGATGTGCTCCAGCTCCTCCTTCCTCACCTGAAGATGACGGCGAGTCGATCCAGGGGCACTGTAGGGTCTGAGGAGAGGCCATTGCTTGGCTCCTGAGAGAGCAGCTGGAAAACAAGGGAAAAGGATGGGATTTCAGGACCACAGGCAGGCCTCTGCTCCCAGGGAGCACAGCTGGCCCAGCAGCCCCGGTCTTGGCCACACACAGAGGGTGCCCTGACAGATCAGAGGCTTCTCCCTGGGTCTCCTCCAGAGCCTGTTCCGAGGGGTCTCAGAGGAGCAGGGTGGGAGGTGGAAGGAGCCAGCCAGGGGGCAAGGGCCGCAGGAGGAGCTCCCCAGAACCATGGGCACATCCTCTTCCTGAGGCTTCTCTCCCTCCTCCTGCCATCCTGAGATTTCTACTCTGTTCTCCTGGGTCTGCATGAAAAGGTCACTCAGGCCAACAG